ATATATTCATGAAGATTTATGTTCATTTTGAGGATGACATTGTTGAGCTCATCAATGATCATCAACTTGATGGCCATCTTCACGAATATGTGCAAGCACCCAATTTCACCATAAGAGGCACACTTCTCGGAGTTACAACTCTCTATCTTAGTGCCAGGCAGCACTCTGGACACGAGGTAGTGAGTCAATCAATAAAGCTGGAAGTATATTCACCTCCAAGATTACATCCACAGGAGATTTTTCTTGTACCTGGTGCTTCTTATGTTCTCAGAGTTGAAGGGGGCCCAAAAATGGGTGCCTTTGTTGCATATACTAGCATGGATGATGAAACTGCTAAATTTGAGAAATTTTTGGGGAAAGTATCTGCAATTTCTCCAGGAAATACCACCTTGGTGACCACCTTTTATGGGAAAGAATATATGATGATTTGTCAGGCATTTGGCAAAATCAAAGTTGGTGTTCCTTCTGCTGCCCTCTTATATAGTCAAAGTGAGAAGCTTGCAGTGGGCCGCCATATGCCAATTTTTCCTACTCTATCAGAGGGAAACTTATTTTCCTTTTACGAGCTTTGCAGCAATTTCAAGTGGACTATTGAAGACAATGAAGTGCTGACTTTTCATGAGACACATCATCATACACAAGGTTTAGGAAGTGGTGTTGATAGCTTGGTCAAGGAAGAGACTGGTTTTCTTAAACTATTGCAGGCATTATCTCCGGGGAAAACTGATGTTTCTGTTACATTTTCTTGTGATTTTGTCTCATCTGGTCCAATTTCTGAATCCAGGCTGTATAGTGCACATATAACTTTGTGGGTCGTGCCTGATCTTCCTCTTGCTCTGGGATCCACGGTCACCTGGATACTCCCTCCCCATTATACCTCCTCAGATCTTTTGCCTTTAACATCAAATCCTCACAGCAAAATGGATTCTTCAATTCATCAAGGCACAATCAGTTACTCTTTGTTGAGAGGTTTTGATGAGGTTCAAGAAGGTGGTGCTTTTTCCATTGATGCAGGTACAATTAGGACAAAGGAAGCTGATGGTATCTCTTGTATTATGGGGAAAGATAAGTCTACTGGAAGAATTGATGTCGCTTCTTGTATACGGGTTGCTGAATTAGCTCAAATCAGACTCCTGGCACAGAACGCTTTGGTTCTTAAACTCACTATCAGTTCGGAACACCATCTACCTATCCAATACTATGATGTTCTCGGGAACCCTTTCCACGAGGCTTACAATGCTGCTCGGTTTGAAGTTGAAACAAATTATCCTCATGTTGTTGCCATACAGGACTTCCAAGACATGGACAGAGGAATCAGCCTTAGGGCGAAGAGGCAGGGTAAAGCTCTTGTCCGAGTAGCATTTTCCGATAATCCACAGAAGTCAGACTACATGCTGATAAATGTTGGTGCTCATATTCATCCTCTCAACCCCGTAATTCGCTTGGGAAGCCATCTTAACTTCAGCGTAAAGGGTCTTTATCCTGATGAAGCTTCTTCATGTCACTGGTTTACTGCTAACAGCAGCATAGTGTATGTTGACAGCTTATCTGGAAAAGCTGCGGCCATCTCTGAAGGGTCTACTCATATATATTATGAATGTTCAGATTTGAAACTGCATGCTGTTGTTACTGTTACGCTGGGGAAGCTTCTGACCATTGATGCTCCAAATGAGATACTTACCAATGCACATCCTTTTCCTGTTAAAGGATACCTCTTTCCCGTGAAAATTGTCGATGCTTACAATCGCAGTGGTGAAACATTTGGCAAAATTGACTTTTTTGACTGTCAGGTGTACCCATCTTTTGTTGGGGTGGCAAAGCCATGGTTAGATACCATCAGAGGCAGGCCATATTGTTCTTTCATTCCTCACTCTCCGGAGCAACTGGTGCAGAAAGCTCCTGATTTTGCTGACGTGAATCGTGGCTTAACCATTTCACTCTCCGCGTCATCATTGGAAGAGAACGGGGTTTCAGGTTCTGCATCTGCAATCTTTATTGGGGGTTTTTCTTTTCTGGGAAAGGATGAACATTCACGTACCCTGCAGTTATATATGACCCCTGAATCTAGGCTGCGACGTATAACCATCGTGGGCAACACTGATGTTGAAATCACCTGGCGGCACTCGGATAAATTGTCTGTTGCTAGAGCAATGCGCTTGAAAGAATCGAACCAAGGAAGACGTGCTGTGTATGAGGTTGAAGCTCGTCTCGGTGCTGCAACATTTGAAGACACGGTTATAGTCACTCTTCCAGCCACGGGCCAGAGCTTGAGGTTGGATGTAAAATTTGAAGCTAACAGAAGGAAAGTAGACTCCAGTTTACATTTCCTCAGGCCTACTTTTGACTTCTGGTTCGGAAGCCCCGTGCGCGTGTTAATCCTGTGCCTTGACTTTGCCTCTATGGTGTACATTTTGGTGGAGGCGTATAAAATAACAAAACCATCATCTCTTGGCAATGCTGCTACACCGAGGAGAACACCACCTGCATCGTCAACTCCGACTCCTTCGGTCAGCAGTTTCCGAAGACAGGATGAAGGATCTCAATCGCGATCTCCTAGTTCACCTCAGCCTTTTCTAAATTATGTTAGAAGGACATTAGACGAAACTCCACATTTCAGAAGAAGAGTCAATCCCCAGAATACAAAGTAGTATGCGTTAGAGAGTTCTGCTTGCTTTGCTCAACTTGTTCCTCTCTTTTTTTCCTAGCTCTTTTAGTGTCTGTAAAGTATGGAACTGCAATCATCAGCTTGCCCATTTAGTCCAAATTTTGACCGTTACACTGGTATGAAACGCAGTACTAGCATTTTGGGAGCTGCTGCTGTGATTAAATAAGTCAACTGGTTCCTCAAAAGGTGACCTTCATCTGCTTGAAGTTATGGCTGATCGTGTAAGCTCTTGTTTACAGCCTCATCCTCCACATCACATACACATATGGCTTTGCTGCATCTACTTCTTGTATCTCGAACCTGCACAATTTTGAAAACACACATACACTGTGTATCTTCATTCTAATGAAGTTTGAAGAAATGCACGTCTTCGGGTGCTGAAAGAAGAATCCGTTTTCGTTATAACTTCTAAAAGATCAACACTTGATAAGTGCAACCTGCGTGTGGGCATAAGATTGTCTCTGCTGGTCCTTCAGAGTCAAACTTGGTGAAATCAGCGGAATCATTGAAGATAGTGGCAGCTTTGGTGCTGAATGCCGATGATTAGTTCTATCTTGGACTTTGGATGCAAATTATGTCATTTCAGATTTCGCAAATATTTTTTGATTCTTAGTTTGATGCTAATGTATAAAATCAAATAGACTTGCATAATGTTTGATTTTTCAAGCCATGGAAGTCGCTTTGGATCATGTTTTTCCTAATGGGCCTGTCCTATTTATTTAGTAGCATCATTATGTAATTTTTATAGAATCACCACATTTATATGTCATTTTATTCGCACTGGCTGTACATACACAATTTTGGCCAGAAATTTTGTTCATGCAACTCATTGTCTCCCTGCGACATACAGTACATCATTTTCAATATTTCATAATTTTTTGATTGTCTTAAATAAAGGTTTTCCAAATGTGTCTGTGCATAGGATTTGTTTTTGAAGTTCCTTGAACCAAGAGTTAAGAGCCAATTTTAGGATTTGTTTTTCGAACTAAACGAGTTAAGAGCAAATTTTAGGATTGGTTTATGAAGTTAGTTGTAATTAAGTTGCTCAAAAATAGAAATAGCAAGCGTCCAAATTTGTCTTCTCAATTTTTCTGATTACTTTGCGGCCATTTGACCAAAACTGAAACAATAACGAAACCGCAACATCAAAAAGACTTCAAATCTAAAACTCAATTCGAATAGAGACCACTATCAACTTGCCCAGGAAACATGAGTTCAATCTCGAAAATGATAATGAGGAACTATTCAAACTTGTTTTCCAAAGATGAATAACTACTCAGGCTGAAATTAAAAACAATGTTACATAGTATTTTGACAAGTTACTATTAGACAAATGATGAACACAGCCAACAAGGGGTTGCCCAGGTGAGTGGTAGTAGGCCTGGCATTGAAACTTGAGATCCCAAGAGGTCTCAGGTTCAAACCCCGTCAGGAGCACTTTAAGTGCTGCCTATGCAGGCTTGCATCTAGGAGGCCAGAGGCAGTATCGCACTTTAAGTGCTGCCTATGCAGGCTTGTATCCAGGAGGCCAGAGGCAGTATCGGAGAGTGCGTAACTAACAATGTTTTCAAGACGGAAACAAATATCTTAAAAGAAAATGAGAAAACAAATTAATAATTTTTTTTATGACTTCAAATCATCATCAAATATATATAAATTAAAATATTATTATAATAATTCATATTCCGCACAACTAAGACCTGCCGTGATGAACTTATTATCAACACATATGTTAAGAGTTTAGTGTAGTCATTAATTGAACTTTTCATCATGTTATTGCCATGGAGTGCTACAATTTTGTTTGGACTTCAAATCTACAGTATTGCAAGCTCTTTTCAGAGCTATTGGACAGAAATGAGAAGAGTGTGAGTCTGTTTTGGGTACACACACCCAACGGGCAACAGCTCATGAGCTCAAAGCCTGTCAGTTCTCTTGGCTAAGAAGTGACTTGAGAGTAATTAAATTGGCAAAACACAGAGACACTTTTGCAGTCCAAGCTCTGGTGCTATTGTTGAACATCATTAACAAAAATGGAAATCTTTACTGAGGCACTGGCTCACAACGTTTGAACAATTTTTAAAAGCGCTGGGTGGTCTTAAATTTTAAGTTGAAAAGCAGATTCAAAGAAAAAATAAAGAAGAAATCGACAAAAAGATTTTCGGATGACGTCCAAACTATTCATGGACAGCTCAAAATATAGTACATATATATTATATATTCATGCCTCTCTGCACAAGGAGCAGTTAAAGGGAAAAGCTTGCAACTTTTGACTTTTCTATTCAAATCCATATTCAACAAGCAAACCTTCTAAGCTATATATATCTATTCTAGTCTAGGGCACTAATTACTCTAGTCTAAGCCTCTTGTTCTAGTCACCAACTTTCTTCTTCACCGAGAAACACTAGGGGGAAAAAAAAAATGGCTATAGCAATTGAAGATGTACCCCCTCACATGATAAGTTTCGTTAGGGGTTACCTGTGTCTTTCTGTGTTAGCTTCCCTTGGTGCCGTGTCCTTGTACTCTCACCTAGAGTTCCATCAGATTCAGCTAGAAGTTGCAGAAAAGGAGCTAATCTCACCTCTGAAGGAGTCCTTTTAGATATCGGATCCTATGTTTTGTTCCTTGGGATGACTATGGTGTTCCCACTTTCTGCGGCTTATGTGTTTGGTGGTTTTCAGTGGTTGGGCTGGGTTGATTCGTGGATGAGTGAGACAACCGTTCAGAAAGCTGTCAAGAAAGCAATGGTGGAATTATTCTATTTCATATCCTACAACACCATCATGTGTTTCATACCCCATTTTGGAGTCCATTCATTCACCACAAGTGATTGGCACTTTGAGGATTCAAAAGAGTTGATGATGGTGAATCTGGCCTCATTTTTCTTCCTTCTACTTCTGGCTATAATGTCCGATGGAATTGGAATGATTTCGCAAACGGATTTCGGAAGGTTTAGAGAGAAAATGCTGGAGTTAGCCCTACACATTGCCGCCCTTTATTTCGGGACAGACTTCCTTTCTTGGTTTGGAATGTTAAGCTTGTGTTGTTTAGTGCATGCCATAAAAATTGGCGGCCAAACATGGCTCTTGCTTGAAGTTGAAGAGGTCAGAAGAAGAAGGGTACGCGCTGGATTGTGGTGGTCGTTTTTTTCTTTTTGTTTTCTTTTTTTTTTTTTATTTTTTAAAATTTGTGTTGGTTTGTAATTCTTTATACAATCTTAATAATTAATTTTTGGTGGACGTCGGTGACACAGGCAGCTGCGGCGATTGCGGCGGCTGCTGCTGCTGCTGCTGCTCGTCGTCGTCGTCGTGGTGGTGGTGCAGGTGCTGGTGGTGGTGGTGCTCCTCCTCACGACGGCAATGATGTGAATATATATGATGATTTTTTTTTTCTGCTGGTGTCTTTGTGGTGTTTTTACCATATATTGTGGTTTTAAATTTAATTTCCGTTATGTTCTGATATGTGAAGGGTGATGATAATAATGGCAAAGGCAAACCCAAAGAGCAGTCATTATACCAAGCAATATTACAGCATGATAAAAAAGACAAAGGCAAATCCATTGCTGCTGGACCTTCAACCACTCAGTCGGCCCCCCCAAAAGTTAATCCGGTACTAACCTCATCGCATAACTGGTGGTTTGTCTTCTTCTTTTTTTCTTTTTGGAGTGTGGGTTTATAACATTATATGAATTTTAATTTTCTCTCTTTCTTGTCTTGATCAGAGGCATTCGGGAATTCACATTCAAGGCTGAAGTACGTAGCAAAGGGAGATCCTAATGAAGTGCTGAACAATTGAATTTCCATGCAGGTTGTTGCAAGCTGAAGTTATTAGATGCAATAAATGCATGAGTTTGTGTTTCATTACTCCCGGAATAATAAACTATTAAACCAGCTTGTGAATGTTTAGCACTGTTAATAATTTGAAATTTCACTTGTTGAAGATCGGTTTCTTCCGGACGGTATCTGTTTGTGTTGCTCCTTTGCTTTTTTTCTTTTTCCTAGTAGTACTGATTAATTTCTTATCATGGACAAGGATTTTAGTGGCTTTTAAAATTTTTTAGCATATTATAAATAACTAATTTTCCCATTAAACAATCGAGCATGCATCAATATAATCCCCACTTTTCTTCTTTCTTTTTCCCTTGTTTTTTTGTGTTATTTTATGGTTACTACAGCATCACGTATAATTAGGTAACAATTTTGAAGTGAAAATCCCATATTTTTATTATTATTACTTTTTTTTAATAAAAGAAAAAAAAAAAGAAAAAAAGCAAGCCTTTCCGCTAAACTAATTAGTGTCTTTGAGATATGAGTCATACTAATAACTGTAATGAATAGTACCAAGTAAATCGAAGTAAATGGTCTTAATTACTCTGAAAAGACAATTGAGAGAAAATAAAAGATACCAAATTCTCTCTTGTGTCTGCTCCAAGATTCGCTATAGAATCTTCAAGATCTTTATCAAAATACTCCACATGAAAAACATGTAATAGCCAAGGTTGTTTTGACAGAAACCCAATTTGATAACTAGCGTAAGTAATCGATGATCCATAGAAATGATTTGGTATGTGAGGGGCTTACTCTCCGGCTTCCGGAAGCAGCTTCTCGTCGACTTTGGACCATTGACCTTCCAAGAGTTTCTTTAGTTAAGTACCTTAATTCAAGAATATCGCCTCCGATATTGTTTCTTTCTGAACTACTATCCCATAGATAATGGCTAAGGGGTACAGAATGCCAACGTATAAATGGGTTCAATGTTTATAAGTGCAATGATTCTGTCCAGCCCATTACTGTTGGTATATAGATTCGGATTTTTCAGCCCAAAAAGATTATCATTTTTTAAAATTTTCTTCTTCTTCTTCCCCCTTTTTTTTTTTAATACCTGGGAAAAAAAAAAATTCTTTTGCTTCAACCCATCGATGCGCAGTTGCGCACGCAAACATTAGCAGATGTAGTGAATTTGTTTTAATCATTTACTACTAGTTTTATTCTTAACTAGTATTATGCCCGCACGTTGTGCGAATTTTACTATATTTTAGAGTAACATTAATATACCATTATTTTCTTATGAAAAGTGGCATGTGTTTTAATTTTTTCATTTTTTGGTATATTAGGTATTCGGAGTTCAAATTCAAGAGTATCATATGGTTTGTTCTTTTTTTTTTTGGTATATAGTGCATCTGGTGTTTGAAAATCATTGTTCCAACTAGTCCGTCTTCGAATCGGGTAGGTCACTTTTGAAAGACAAACCTCACCCAACAATCATTATTATATACACATGTACAGATTTAATCATGGATTGTAGTTAACTTGGTCCAATACTATTACCACATAGATCAAGTACTTCTTAGCCATATAGAGTATTTTAAAATACAAATTAATATGTTCAACTATCTAATATACTTCTTGTTTAGGAGTGATAGTATATCAAAAAAAAAAAAAATCTAAATACGAATTAATATGATCAATTGTCTACTATCCTACTTTTTTAGGGATATAAGTATATAAAAGTTATTTTCAATAAAAGAAATTAAATCATGTATATTCTTAAAGTATATTGACTGAAAAACATATATTGTTTACTTGTAGTAACTGAATTAAATATTATAAATAATCTTTTTTTAGGCATAAAGCAAAATAAAAAAAAATTCTAACAAAAGTAAATAAAGCACAAAAAATAGGAGGGGAAAACCATGACAAAAAAAACTAATAAATAATTTTGAAATACTTATCCATACTCCAAACTTTTTTCTTAGCTTGTTAACCTTTTTCTTAGTGTTTTTTTTAAATAGTAAAACAGGCTATACCTGGCGGGCGCAGGACCCATTTTATTTATTTAGACTCATAACTTTTTAATAGTTATGAAATTAAACTCTTTTTATTTTTAGAGAATATATCAAATGAAATTATTTAAAAAATAATATTAGCATATGTATGATGTATCTAAATTTGATTTCAAATTATATTTGTAATATAATGATTTGGCAACTAATCTTTATTTTTGATAACTATTTTTTTTTTTTGAAAAATATATCAAATGGAATCATTTAAAATAATACTAATATACATTTAATGTATCCAAACTTAGTTTTGAATTGTATTGGTAATATAATGATTCGTTAACTAATCTCTTTATTTTTGTAATTAATCTCTTTTTATTTTTGAAAATATATCAAATAAAATGTTTTGAGAAATAATATTAATCTACATTTAATGAATTCAGACTTGGTTTTCAAATTTTATTCATAATATAATTATTTGTAACTAATCTTCTTTTATTTTTTTAAATTAATCTGTTTTTATTTTTTGAAAAATATATTAAATAGTATCATCTGTAAAATAATATTAACCTATCTTGCATGTATACAGACTTGGTTTCGAATTGTATTTGTAGTATAATTATTTAGTAACTAATCTTTTTTTATTTTTGAAAAATATATCAAATGGAATACTCTAAAAAAATAATATGAACATAGGTTTAATTTATCCAGACTTAATTTCATATTGTATTCGCAGTATAATTATTTGGTAACAAATATTTTTTTTGTTATTGGTAAATAATCTATTCTTATTTTTGGAAAATATATCAAATAGAATTATCAGAAAAATATTATCAATTTATGTTTAATGTATCCAGACTTAGTTTTGAATTGTACTCGTATAATTATTTGGTAAATAATCTCTTCGTTTTAGTAAGTAGTCTATTTTTATTTATGAAAAATATATTAATCATCTAAGAAATAATATTAATATACTTGTAATGTAGGTAGACTTGGTTTCGAATTGCATTCGCAATATAGTTATTTAGTAAGAATCTTTTTTTTTTGGTAATTAATATCTTATAATTTTTGGAAAATATATCAAACAAAATCATTTGAAAAATAATATTAACTTACGTTTAATGTATTATGACTTAGTTTCAAACTGTATTCTTAATACATTTATTAATTTGATAATTAATGTTTCCTTATGTCATATATTTGTCAATATTTACCAAAGACGTATTTCCGAAATTAACTATTGGTTAATTGCTTAATTCAATTTAACAATTTTACGTATTATTACTAAACTTTTAACTGTTTAATGAAGGAGAATTTTGGTGATGACACGTGGCACAATTGGCTATACTTGCTCCCGTGTGACATGTGTCGATTAAGAACTCTACTTTAATATATACTAGTGTTTACTCCGCACGTTGTGCGGGTTATCCAAGATATATATGAGTTTAATGATTTATTGATTATATGATATTGATGATATAAAAAACTTAATATTTTTTAAAAATATTTTCTTACTTTTTTATAATAATCTCTTTAAATATTTCTACATGTATCACATCTTTTAAACACTCCCTCTTACACAAATTTTTTTTATTATTTGTTTTCACAAACTTATCTTTATTTTCCTTCTTTTTATATACCTTTTGTAATCTTTCTCTAAAAGTTTGTTCGTATATTTTTTCTAAAATATAGTGTTTTCTTTTCTTTTTTTTTAGGTGCATAGTTTTCACCTTTTTTTCCCTAAATTTGATGACCACCCATTCATTCTTAAATAATAATTATTTCATTTTTCACTATTATTTCATCCTTAAATATAAGTAAGCACGCTTTATTATTGACTGTTGAATTCGTGATGTTTGGTTGATCATGTCTTCACTGCCAGTGGCGAAGCCTGGGATGGAATATAAAATGAATTAATTACTCCAAAAGTACCAAAAAGATGTCATCTATATTCACTCAGAACTAAAAAGAAAAAAACGTTGCACTTTGGTACGAAATAGTGAGCTTTTATTTTTTTTTGATTCTCTGTTTGTTTTCCGAGGAAAAGGGTAGTGGTCAGCGGCGGTGGACAGTGGAGTTGACCAAGGGTATAATCGGTAAATAAAAAAACAAATCACAATTCCCACGCACGTGCGAGTCACGTGGTTGCCACCAAAAAAAGAAGCGGCAAATTCAAAATTCAAAAAAATGGAATTTGTCGCGTTGAGCCGCTGCTTCAACGAACGACATCAATGAGCAGCGTCACCGTAAACCACCACCGAATCACCGTGAGTCAACGCCGGTCAAAAGTTGGACCGCCGCTAATCCACCTTCGCCTGATGGATATTTCGAATCTTGGGCCAACTATTATTTTAAGCCCAATAAATAACGGGCCAAATTTCTGGGGATTACCGTAATATGGTACGTCTGAAACTTCAACGGGCCAGTTCCTATTATTTATTGGGCTTAAAATAATAGTTGGCCCAAGATTTGGTCGTCACCGAGAATTGGTCGTCGCCGGTGTCGGAACGGCATATTCCGGTAACCGGCCGACGAATATCCCAGCGATATACCGGAATATTGACCGGAATATCCACCGGCCGGCGGTGGATTGACGGCGATCCAGCTTTTGCCTCGCATTGACTCACGGTGGTTCGGTGGTGGTTTACGGTGGCGCCGCTCATTGATGCCGTCCGTTGAAGCGGCGGCTCAAGGCGGCAAATTCAAATTTTTTTTGAATTTTGAATTTGCCGCTTCTTATTCTTGGCGGTAACCACGTGACTCGCACGTGCATGGGAAGTGTGGTTTGTTTTTTGATTTGATAATTATACCCTTGGTCAACTCTGCCGTCCACTTTTGCTAACCACCACCCTTTTCCTCGGAAAACAAACAGAGAATCGAAAAAAAAAATAAAAGCTCACTATTTCGTACCAAAGTGTAACGTTTTTTCTTTTTAGTTTTGAGTGAATATAGATGGCATCTTTTTAGTACTTTTGGAGTTATTAATTCGTATAAAAAATATTTAGCTGGGAAAAATATAACTATTTAGAGATTTTAACTTAAAATTTCAAAGACATCCTTTAGAAAATTCGGGCGAGGGGGTGGTCGCCCCTACTGGTCCCCCAGTTCCGTCACTGTTCACTGCAATTGGTAATTACTCTATATGTTCTAAAATTATTGTCCAGTAAGGGTAGAGTGAGTATGAGATTGTGCGGAATCCCATATTTTATCATTGAATAAAATTATTTATTTTCATGTATTTTTATGTTTGTGGTAGAGGTTTATAGAGTTTCTTAATTTATACTTATAAGTGGCCTTGGTGGAAAACTCACACATTTACATGATGAAAATTAATACATACATAAATATCATACATAACAACGAATTATATAAAATGAAAAGTACTAATATTGTCCCCCGTCCTCCATGGTAGAAAGATGGGGAAAGATTAATTTTCTTCTTTAGTTTATATGATTTTCTTCTTTAAATTAATTTTATTGGTATCAAACAAACAGAAAAAGTTACTGAATCATAAATCATAAATAATATAAACAATTATATAATGAATTCAACCCATGTGAATAATCAACAAGTAATAGTGATAAATTAGTTGTTTTTGGGTTCCTGTGTGATGTCCATGTGGACTTTGGCTATCTAATTTTTTGCCGTGTGGATTACCCTAACTAATATTACGCCATGTGACCGATTGAAAACTCTTCCTTAATATATATTAGATGTTTGCCCGGACGACTGCCCGAGGTGTCCCTTTAAGTCGATTAAATGAAACAAATTATTCATATCATGATTATTATAATATAAATAGTAAAGGCCTCAGCAAATATTATTCATTCATCGAAACAAAAAAATTTGATCACTCATTTTAAAACAATATGGATACTACCCACGGTACACTTAACACAATATAGTTACTTGCAGTACACATTTTTCCTCTTTCATCTAAATTCTTTGTTTTTCATTCACCACTACCTTTTTCCTCGCCCAATTCAGTTCCTAAGTTTGATGAATTCTAGTGGCGAACATCATGATGAGAAGATCCCGCAAATTCAAATTAGCAAAAGCCGACAACACCAACCGGAAAATTTAATGACAAACACACGATTTTTGTTTGTATCATAAAGGATTTGAAATCATCCATGAAATTTGCAGCCACATCAAATTGATATGAGTAGACCAAACATATCCAGGTGCTGATCATAAAAACAATTGGTTAGAACACTCTGGAAAGGGAGGTGTTCATTACTACCTCCCAAGCGCACGAAGAAGGAACCAGCTTACAAAATTAAAGTTCAGATATTTGAAATGGTTCTTATCTAGAAAACTGATTTAAAAAATGCTATACATACCATTTCAGTTGGATAGACAGTCTTGTTGCACCCAAAACATTTGTCTCTTATTCCGACTAACATGCTTGAAACCTTATTCGCCAACCACGTCAACAACTGAAATCGAAATTCAGCAGGTTTCTCTCGTTGATTGTAACCATACCACAATTTCAGAAGCTTTATTTGGTTTTGCTAGTTTTCGTGTTCGTGAGAAGTTGAAAATTAACAAAGAGATCAACCCTTCTAGAATTCAATAAAGATGTCGACTGTTTTTGCAAGATGTTTCATTCAATAATGTGGCCTGCTATACAGAACTCCCTCAAACGAATTTTGTAGTTGCCAAAATGCAAATTGAGGTCTACATTAAATATGGCTTTTGAAAGCAAAACATAAATAGGTGTTCTAAGTCCAAGCACCAGGTATTCTTTGACATTCATTATCATAAGTAAGTTACATGTTTTCAACTTTCCAAAATTGTTAAGACCAAGTAAAATCTTGTAATGGGTGAAACAATTTTGAAAAATTGTTAAGACTAAGAGATATGTTTTCAAACTCTGAATCAGGCATTAACGCTTCCAAAACCACATGAGTAATTAGGTTGAATATACCTTTTTTTCGCTTTTGTAACCTTAAGAGTCTCGACAATCAATCCTTCAACAAACTGAGGAGTACCATTGTTCATTTTTAATCAAATGTATCTTTCTTCTCTTTACCCATAACAAACAAATCTAAATAAGAAAAAAGAATGAATATAATAAATTAATTAAAGGTATTAGCTTAGAGGTATTAGCCTCCATCCCTTGTAAATTGCAAAGTCATCTTTCTTGCCATAAAGCTTAGCTGCTTTTAGGACTGTCAACGAACCGAGCACTTTGCGAGCAGTTCGCCAATAGCTTGGTCAAAGCTTGGCTTGAATTCGGCTTAGACCGAATTCGAGCCGAATTCGAACAGTTCGATTAGATAGACGAGTCGAACACGAATATCAATATACTTGATTCGAGAGCTCGTCAAGCCTATTCGAGCTTATTATAAATTATTTTATTTTTATTAAGAATAATATATAATTCATGAAAACTTTTCTTTTTATTTTTTAAAAATTATTGTCCTTTATATTTTGAAGATGTAATAATGGTATATACATATTTTTTATGATTTGTCAAAGAATTTTGCTCATAGAATATATAGATTGAATTTGTTGAATTAAAAATGACAAGTATTAAAATTTATTCGAGCTCTATATTATCGAACATTCGAACTTAATTTTTATCAGACACAAAAACTCGAGCCAATCGAGCCGAGCGCAAGCTATTCGTTTTTATTTCAAGCCAAACTCAAACTTAAATTTAAATGTTCGACCGAGTTCTAACTCGAATACGAGCTCCAAATTTTTTGTCGAACTCGAGGTCGAACACCTAACTGTTTGGGCTTGACTCGGTTCGTTGACAGTTAGGTTCTCGAGCACCTAACGTTGGAAGAACGGAAAAAAGGACTTACGAATTCAATAAGCATCTCGACTGGAGCAGCCAACTTTTGGCAAAAAACTTCAGATCGGCGAGAAAAAAGCCATTCTTTCACCCGAACGCCGGCAACGTCAAAATCGTAACGGTGACTGCGGCTGAACTTCACATCGGCGAAGGAATAAAAATTTTCCATCCAAGCGTTGGCAGCATTGGGAAAAAGCCATCAAATCTAATTACTCTCAAATATCAAAAAATAGCCAAATATTATCAAGTGTGAAGAACGTCATCAAACCTTGTAATTGAATTCCCGATTATGAAAGCACCCGCATAGAGCAATGGACGGAGGGACTTACCGATTCCCAAATCCTTGCCCTCTGAAATCAATCGAAAGGATGAGATCCTTTAAGAGGCCAAGCAGAAATTGGATTTGTTTTCTGGTGATTGACAGCTTCAACTGATACGAAGATGGAGGATTTTTTTTTTTTTTTTTTTGGAATTGAAACAGATCGTATTTGTTTAGAGATTTTGATTTCGAGGGGCTTCGGATTAACATTACATTAGGAAGCGGATTTTGAGCATGAAAGTAGGGCTTGATCCCCGGGATTAACATCCCTTTACTTAGGTCCTTTTTTTTTTGTCGATCCTTTTTTTTTTTTGGGTCATTGGTAAAGCCACGTATCAAAAATGATTTTGTACTGTAAATAGCTTTTATTAACCAATTTGTAAGTATCTGATGCTAGTGCAATTATAAAAATTTAATGTAATTTCATGATCACTTGTATTGATTATTATTATTCCTTCGATTAACAAATTATTATGAAGGTGATATTTACCACCGGGAAGAACAATATCGATGACCACCGGTGGTAAATTTACCAATGCATAAAAAGTACAAAACCATTGACTTTACATGTTCAGTAACAATCACACAGGAACGGGAACCAAATGAAGATTGTTTTTTCTTGGTGCTGTAATTCCACGATTCTCAAGCATGTCCAAGTCCTCAGGGCAATTACCATCGGGGAGTTTCCAGTCAAAGTGGTAGAGCATTAGAGCCACCGGAAGCTCCACGTTAGCTAAACCAAATGACATTCCTGGACAAATCCTCCTTCCCGCCCCAAATGGTAAATATTCAAAGTGATTCCCATAGAAATCAATGCCATTGTCTTCAAACCTTTCAGGTTCAAAACTCTCTGGATTAGGCCAGTATTCGGGATTCTTTCCCATTGCCCAAACGTTAATCATGACCTTTGTTTTGACCGGTATTGTGTATCCATCGATTTCACGTTCCTCTCTACTTTCTCTGGGAAGCAACAAAGGAAAAGGAGGGTGTAACCTTAGAGTCTCTTTGATTACTAACTTCAAGTACTTGAGTTCAAGAATATCAGCATCAGTTATTTTTCCTTTTCCCTTTAAAGCTTGCCTTACTTCATGTTGCGCCTTGGCCATTACATTTGGATTTTTTATCAGCTCTGACATTACCCATTCGAAGGCGGTAGACGAAGTTTCAATTCCCGCTGCAAACATATCCTGCATAACATACATATTATATAATTTGAAGAAATTAATTAAAGTAGGTTAATTCATATCCTTTTTGACAATTGATGTTAGGGAGAGTTTCAGTTTTGGATCTCTTAACTTCTTCAATTAACCTTGGATCTCTTAACTTCTTCAATTAACCATGTGATAGGCACTCAAATAGAGATTTTTTTTTCATTTAAAAAATTTAAATGGTATTTATATTTTTTCCGTCCCAGTTTAATAGTCTATTTTATTGTACTAAAAAAATACGACAAAAAATGACTTTTAAATTTTACAAATACAATATGCATGCACCTCTAATATTACGAAAAAAGTAACGATCATCTATATAAAATTAATATGTACTCTTAGAGAAAATAGTAACATAAGATGATAAAATATGGGAATTGATTACCAAATAAAACATATTTAAGGGAATCAAATATAGTTAAATTGTAGTCCACGCAGACAACAAATACCAACAACAACAACATAGTTACAATTGCAGAATCGCAATCAACTTGATTTGAATAATCCAGTAGGTAACATGTCATCTATCTCGAATAGAGAACACTAGTTTTCTAAAAATTGAAAAACAACCCAACAAACATGATTCATTTTTTGGGAATGAAGAGAGTGTAGGTGTTTATATTACTCAAAATTTATGAAGTCGTCATGAATATAGTGTCTGGTAAAAGAGTTAGGAGAAAAGAAACATCAATGTTTTACATTGTAACTTAATTGAAAAGACAGTACTGTAAAATAGATTGAATGTAGTAAAAACTTACAAAGATGACGGCTTTAATAGCATCGTTGGTGATGGGAACCTGAAGATCGCCATCCTCTTTGACTCTAAGAAGAGCATCAACAAGATCCTCCTCGTCATCTGAATGACCGCGATTTTGGATGTGCTCCTTAATTATGTCCTCAAAAATCAAGTCCATCTTCTGATGAACAGTCAACAATTTTGACTTCATCCCGGTCAAACTATGAAGGAACTTGTAAGATGGGAAAATATCCGCAATGTCGAAACCTCCACCCAATGAGGCCACTTCCTTCATTAACCCAACAAATTCGAGCTGCTGCCTTCTCGAGACTTTACCAAATGCAGCTCTACTAACCATTGAAGATTGGTATGAAAAAATTTGTTCAGCCAAATTGACTGTTTCTCCAGCCAAACTCCTGATTTCTTCAACCATCTTCGACCCAACATCTTGTCTGATTTTGTCGAATGACCGCACATTCTTAGCGCTGAGCAGTTCGATAATACATATTTTACGCATCTGTCTCCAGTAATCGCCGTATGGGGTGAACGCAATGTCTTTACTGCCGTAGCAAACGATCTCAAAAGCTAGAAGTTTAGGCCGGCTCGCAAACGCGAGATCATGCGTTTTCGTGATTTCTTTTGCCATTTGCGGGGATGAAACCACAATTGCTGAAATTTCTCCAAGTTGAATATGCATAAGAGGGCCATACTTGTTGGCCAATTTTGCTAGGTTCTGATGGGGAAGCGTACCCATCAGGTGAAGGGATCCGATAAATGGAAGCTTTTGAGGGCCTGGTGGCAGCGATTTTCGCCTGCAGGAAACATTGGATTTTTTGGAATTTTTTTTCCATTGTTTGACTATGGTGAAGAAAGCTGTTGCAAAGAAGAAGAAGAAGAGGGAAATGAAGTTCCAAGATGATATTTGGAATTCCATTGTTGGAAAGCAAAAAAATGACACATACAAAATTAAGATTTCAGTACGTTAATATAGGTGGTGAAGTAATGAGCTTGCATTTGGTCAGTTTGCATTCACTGATAGTACTCAAAAAAGTAATTAAGCTTTATAAAAAACAAAATGAAGACAAATCTTTCAATTTCTTTGTCACAAATATATATATATATATATATATATATATATAAAGGGCCAGACACAGGTCATGGACGTGTTATTTCACAAAATCTTTTAATTTCACAAATCAAATGAAGACAAATACATTACACATTAATTATGTACATGCCTTGGTCCGTACAAACTCATTGGATCTAGCAGTGAAGCCAACATTATGTGTTGTTTTCATCACGGGATTGTGCTATGTGGTTCGCTTTATCGATCTAATTAATGGACTTATAAGATTATTCCTGCAGTTTTCCTATATATAAGGTATTCCCTCTGTCCCAAAATTATTCTCCAGTTAAGATTCTCATTTTTAGTTCAATCTGCGGAAGAGCATTAAATTAAATTCAAAAAGTTATTATTATTTGTAAATAAGACGGGAAAGAATAGTCTGTTTCACTTCTGTCTTCGACTTTTCGCTGTCCGTTTTCCTAGTTTTTTTGTTTGGTTCATGGCATAATAGGTTGAATTGAATCCTCATTAACTTAAATTACCTTGATGGTTGAATAAATTTTTATGAAGTTTAGTACATTAATTTCCTATCCAATTTATTTATTTCATGGATTTATGAATGGTTGTCTGAAAAAGTTATCATTAGCCCAAGTCGTGAATTAATATGTTCCAAATCAAGATGGGAAGACAGAAAAGAGGGAAGCTTGAAAATCGAAGACCTGCCAAAATGTTACTGCAAATCAAATGTCAAATTTTAGGCGTGAAAATTTCACCAACAGGAAAACTGATCTATGATCCAATCAGATCTTTTCCCCTTTGATACTCACTTTGGGGATGAATCATGAGGTGCATTTGAGACTGCATTTTCTAAACTTTCACTTTTTTTTCCCCTTTTTTTTTAAGTGTATTATGCATTCTGTGTCCGAAATATTGTTTCCACTAATCCAAAGCCACATTTTCTGTCTTTGATTGAACAAGAAGGACGAGACGTATAAAATACTACAATTGTTACTTAAAAATGATTCAACGCGTGAATCTCGCCGGATGGGTACCTATTGATCTATATAGTATGTACTACACGACTTTCACGTCATTCGGATTTGCCTACCAATATTTCAATACAGTATAATTTATTTCATAATACTACTTCTGTCCCAAAAAAATAGTACACATTGAGTTTTCATTTTTATACTGTTTTTTGGTACGAATTCCAAAACTCAAAATGTACTATTTTTTTTGGGACGGATGTAATAATTGGCAGTAGAAATATCAATGCAAAATTTTAATTTTTTCCTTTGGGGGAATATGCATGCCTCTGGTTGAATATGTGCATTGTACTGCCTTAAAACCTTGAAGGAACAAAATTACATATAAAATTAACTGATAAAGATATTTATACTGTTGTATGTGCAAATCCATTTTGATATTGATGATTTGATTATGAGATCTCTTAGTCTTTAATCTTTATCAACCTTTTTATAAGAGTACATTAGTATATGATACTTCATCTGTCCAAAAAAAAAAAAAATCAAATCGAATTTTAAGATTTGTACAAAAAACAATATTAATCTGAAAACTCAATGTGAGTTTTTTTATTTTTTTTAATAGAGGTCATATTTAAAGTTTGATAGTTGATGAATTAACAGTTTTTAAATGATTATTCACAAAATTTTGAAACAAAAGCTCACCATCAAATTAACCAATAAATGAATTATTTACAATATCATTATGAATCTTGAACTAGATGACGAATATCTGTGGGATAAGCGTCCCCTGGTACTAACATGTTGTATGCTCTTGTTGCGGTTAATATATTTACAGTCTCACTGGGATGGAAATCATCATAAAACAAATTGAACAGCCTCATTGGGCAGGGTTGTTTTCCATTTTTGCATAGACCGGTTGATGAGGTAACTTCACAACATGGCATATTCACAATCTGTATTCCTGATAACACAAAATAAATTATAAAGTGGATTATTAAAATTGAGGCAGAAGAAAAAACATACATTGCATGTCTTTAAAAAAAATTTCGCATTAAGTTTTATAATTTATACTAAAAATTATATAAGTTTGAAAATTCAATATAAACTTTTTTTTTTTCAGAGAATGCTACAAAGGAACATGAAACACGACTGAATAATTTACCAATTAATGCAGGGTCGAGTGATTGGAGTGCCCAAACATTCAAATAAATGAATTTGGCCCGAGGCAGTCGTTTGTTGAGGTCGTCCACAAGTTTCAAAAGCTTTCCATTGAAGAGCTGAACTGCTTCATTCACTGCCTTTACACAGGTGTTTGTTGGGTACAAATTTAACTCGAATGGGGTACACCCACTCGGCCCTAATCCAAATAATGCAAATTTCCTTGCTCCATAATTGTACAAAGTCTAGTCTCATCAAGAAAAAGGAAAAAAAAAAGATTAGTTAGAATTTGCTCCTTTTTTTTTCTTTCTGAAACTAGGAATTTGCTCCTTCACTGAACAAGTTGTCAAATAATCATCGAATAGAAATGCAATCTATTAATTTTCCTTTCTAAACAATTTAAATTTTTTTACAGTAATTTTTTATAGTGATTGATGTTTTATTCACGTATTGATGTAGACACTTTAATCATAGGCACACTAATTTACCAATGAACATTAATTGATGTATATTTTCAAAGATCAGGGAGACAAAAACATGTGTCCTTATCAACATCTGGACAAAGACTTAAACCATTAGTATTACTAAGGTTTTAAAATAAAAATTCAAACTGGACAATAATTTTAAGACGAAAAAAATATATGTATGAAACCGCAATCAATGAATACCAACCGTGAGTTGCAGTGAATACTGCCGAATAAGGACATCAGCATACTGTTGAGGTGTATATTTGGAGCTGGTGGTATACAGCTTTGGTAAGAAATAGTTGTTCATGTAATCATTGCTGCCAATGTCAACTGCGTATAAACATTTGTTTAGGAGATCTTGTGCGGAGCTTTGGTTCCGAATCAAAGATTTGATCCGTGAAATTGTTGTTTTATGGTTCAGTAACTGCTTGTCTAAGCTGATGTTATCTCCCTGTAAAGACAATATGATATATAGTCTTAAAATCAGTCTAACAAAATGCCAAAAACTTCAGAGAAAGAGATGCACAGACAGAGGTATCCAATAATTGATCATGCATCGACCACTACTGTTGGGGAATTAACCCAGATCGATCGAGTAACCAGCTGCCACACAATTTTGGTCTTGGTATTTATTGAAGCAACATGTCGATCCTGTAGGTTGCTGGGAAATCATTGATATTGTTACTTTTTCTATTTCAAAATAAATAAACGTATGCTTTCTTTGAAGTTTCAATATGTAAGACTTTTTGTACAGAGTACAATACATATTATTCCCTTTGTCTAAAAAAAAAAAAATCCGTATGGACTTTTGAAATTAATAGAACTACAGGGAGTATATATTACTGTCTCTGTCCTAAAATTATTGTCCATTTTGAAATTTCACTTTTAGTACAATTTGAACTAAAATTGAAAACCTAAATTGGACAATAATTATAGGACGGAGATAAACCTAAATTTCACTTTTATTACTGTTTCTGTCATGACTCACTGAGATAAAAAAATTTTTCCTTTCGATGCACTGAATAAAGCAAGAGTCTAAAATAATTACTGAATAAAATTCATAAAAATGGTAAATGCGTGAAATTTCTACGAATTTTTAGCGTGAAAATAGTCTAATTAATAATTACAACGGTATGGGTGAAAATTTTTGACGACTTTTTATCATAACCTAAAGTTCCAAGAAATATGCTAACTGCGTGTAAGCATGTGCATCAATTAAGAACTAACTCTATACAAAAATAAATAAATACTCCCTCCGTCCCATAATTATTGTCCAGTTTGAATTTTCATTTTTTGTTTAAATTGTACTAAAATAAAATTTCAAACTGCACAATAATTTTGGGACAGAAGGAGTAAATAAAATTACATCGACTAATAAGATTTATATTAAAATATGTGCACGATTTTTTATTTTTTTTATAGACAGATGGAGTATTTTAAAGTTTATTAACCCTTTAGTTAGCTTATTTATTGCACTTGCAAGCAAGTATATATAGATCAGATGAAATGAAGGGTTACCAACTGTTTGCCGGTCTCTTCGCGAATTCCGGCTCCACCAGAAGCATAATTTACACCTTTAGTAATATCCCGACAGCTGGTATTTGCAAAAGGCGGAATATATTCCTCGATTCCCAGAAGCTCACCTTCAAGCGAAAGGAAAAATAATTTATACACCAATAACAGTACATATTACCTTTCCTTTTTTACTCTAACAATAAATATTTCCAATTCTCCACAATTCTGAATAAAATCCGTTTACTATATAACATGTCCATGCCCTATGTATACACTATTGTAGCAATATATAACTCATTTCCTCATTACGAAATGGAAATATGAATCGCAAGACGACTATATTTTGCACTTGAAAAAGGAAAAATAAAGAATAAAATAGAAGATATTTCCGTTAAATAGAGGAAATGTTTGCCATTTCCGCCCTCAAAAAACATGCATATTAATTCGTTTCCAATATATTGTACTCTATGTTTCCTCTCTATGAAAAGTGATCAACGTCTACTTTTCTTTTCTTCTCTGATCTTTTTTTTTTTCCCCTCAGAAAAGATCGACGTCTTGCATAACCTAGTTTGTAATCCACACTGAATCAAACGCATGCAGATAGAAAGACATATGGGGTGGTGTGAAAAGGGGAAATTTCTGTCCAAAAATAAAATAAAATGTACGTTGTAATTTGCTTCACAAACTGTAATGTAAACTGTATTATTGGGACGCAGGGATTGCTATATTTTAGATATCCCATGACCATGCATACCAAAGCGCTAAATTAGCTAGAGTTGCACTAAGAGACAAAATGATGCAAGTAGTTCGTATATATAATATATTGGGGGAGACGATCAAAAAATTTATTACCGACGATATCCATAATAGTCTTTCCGTTGGTGAATCTTCCGGTTGGGCCATGTTTGAAATCAACACCATAAGGTGGGTGATTGGCTTTGGAAGAGGTATTCAGATCATTGTTGTTGCCGGAATCAACCAGTGAGTCGCCGAAGATGAATAAACACGGAACTTGTGGTGGTCCTCCACCTAATGCTGATTCCAAGCCATTCATTATAATGGTCAAGAATACAATGCACCCCATGAAGGCCATTTGGAAGTTTGATTGAAAACACTTAATGGAGAGGAGAAACTAATTTTGTGATAGGTTTGACAACAGAAAATTAACGGGGTTATGAGAAGTTTGGAACAGAAGCAAAAAATGGATAAAAGGGAAGAAGATTGGGTATTTGGTTGCTTTCAGTCATCAAATGTATGTTGTTAATTTTGGACAAATCCTACACGAGTCTGCATATTTCGGAACTGAGCTGTCCCGAGAGAAAGATGGTTGTCAATAGTCAATCTGAATTTGTATTTTTTTTTCTTCCTTTGTTGGGACTAAATTAAATATGGATTTCGGTTAACTGGTCGCTGCTCTATCTTAATTGCTATAGATTTTAAGAAGAAAAAAAGAGCTGGCTTGGAAATAATATTGTTATATATGTCTTAGTTGATGAAGAAGGTTGCCTGCTAGGCGAAACTATTAATGAGTTGAGTGATATTTTGTTTTTCTTTTCTTCGGTAAATAATCACTTCACTTGTGATTTTGCGCAATGAAACCCATTAATTCTAGTATCTAATTATTCTTATCGAATTTAAATTAGTTACAACAAAATTACCTCGGATATTAAGTGAGTAATTACATTTTCGAGGGCTACCGCGACCTTTGTTACCGGTTATTATTAACTGAAATTTGAAGGCGAAAGGGGCATGGAAGGAGTCAAAACCCTACCTCAAACTCAGCCTAGGTGATGCACCGTAAGGTATTACTATTTCTTTGCCATTCATTGACAGCCAAGTGAGGTTAAGCCATATGTTGTGACAGTTAATTAGTTATTTTACCCATCAATTATTCAGAACCAAAAGTCTCGCGACAAAATAAACTGCTTCCAAATCTCAGCTACACCCAATCCCCCGACATAACTTATCACTAGGTGCATAATAATACATGTTGGATGTGTGGAGCAAAAAAATGTTCTTTTTTTTTTTTTTTATCTCAATTCTGTGACATGTCTCAAAATAATAGAATAAAGTATATTGAAACGTTAAAAAAAAAAGAAGCTTATTCGCATGTTAAAAAAATTATTCTCTCCATTCTAGTTTAATATTTTTCCAAAAGAGAATACATAATAATTGGTGCCGAAATTCTATGCCGAAACCGAACACGATATTGGTATGTTATACTTCTGTCTCAAAAAAATAAAAAAATAGTTTATATTAAGTTTTTTAGTACTGAAGGAGTAATATGAATGACATGTTCATTTGAATAAGTTATAGTGAACTATATCTGCCCTTTCTTAATTAATACTAAAATGTAAGAAAGAGAAAAAACTACCCGTGGAAAGGTTGTCTTAATTAGTTTTGGTCATCTCGCACTCTTGCCCATCCCTTCTTGTTTTCTTTGTCATGTTTATTTCTATTTTTAAATCCTCGCCAAACCCTCTGTGCAATTGATTACAACTGTGTAAGGGAAAAAATACAGGCATGATCTAATCAAACTTCAAACCACACCTCTCTGCCACCAACATATAAGTAGCAAATAACTACTTCATTATTATAGGTTCAATTATAATGTTAGTAGTTGTCAAAAGGAAATCGTTCAGGTCAATCAAATAATGTTCATTTTTTGACATAAAGTGACACAAGGCCCCAAAATACCAAAAAAAAAAAAAAAATTAGTTAAAGGAATTTGATTCGTGTTATTTTCTTGAGTGCAGTTCCTGCTCAATGAGCATTCGTTTTTGTCTATTTTCGATGATTTAATTTGTTTCGCAAGCGATTTGTAAACAATTTATGGAAATGTTACATACACCGATTTGTAAACAATTTATGGAAATGTTACATACACTGATACACATAACATAGTCATTGCGGTTGTTCTTGGTCATATTAATTGTACACCCTTTTTGATCGCATATTCATGAAGTGTGTTGGGCTGAAATCCAACGCAAAAGGATGCAATTTGGGCTGGCTACCAAGCAAAAAAACCTGAACCTAAAAAACAAAATGGCTTCAACCAAAATACACATACCCAAGGATCATATAGCATAGAAAATGATTGTTACTAATTTTACTCTTCTTTTTTTTTTAATTACTTAGAAAGCCAACCCAGTTAGATACAATACATTTCTCAAGCTTGAGAGGATTTAGATCTATCAAAAACTAATAACTCTGCAGTTCCAGTTGGAGACACTGCCAAAACATGTACGGGTTTGGACATGAAAGTCCAAATTTTATTAGAAAGTCGGCTACTGCATTATTCCCCGGGCGACATATATGATTGTTACTCCCTACTCCGATCCTTAATATAAGACATTTTGATTTGTCTTAAGTTTAACTTAGTACAAATTTTTAATCGACGAAAAAATCTTAAAAATATTTCATAACGATCAAAAGAACATAACGAATGTGAAAATATAGTTTTAAGGTTCTTTTTTTTTTTTTGTTAATTCAAAATGTGTACTCCCTCCATTCCAAAATAAGTGTCATTCTAGAGTTTGTACATAGTTTAAGAAAACATTAACTAGAGTAACTAAATTACTAGAATATCCTCAACCAACCCCATTAAAATAAATGTTACTAATAATATTATTTCTTTTGAGGGTATGTTTAAAAATTTTTGACGAAAAATGCATTGGAATTCGAAAACGACACTTATTTTAGAATTTCTCCATTTTGCCAAAACGACACTTATTTTGGAATGAAGGAAGTACTAAGTGTAATCCACGAAAAGTCAAAATACCTTATGATAAGGGCCGAAGGGATTACTATTTTTATATGACACTGGAAAAACAAACTTATGATAAGGATCCTTGATAGAGGAAGTTTGTCAACTTTCAAATAAAATATTACCGTGAGGTAGTGGTTTAGTGATCCATCACTGTATAGGGGTTAATTAATTTGTTCCTTATCGGTCTTACCCTGTAACAATATTGTATGAGTAACATATTATACCGCCAGAATATGTAATGTATGTTGCCTTTCTTGTACCAAGCAAATAACAGTAAAATTGAATTATATTAGGCGTCAACAAAACGCCAAAACCAAAGAGAATTTAGCTAAGAAATGTCCAAATGATTTATGAATTAATACATTGGAGTAGGTGACATGAATAATCAATCATATCAACAAGACTTAGAGAATGGAATGGGTAGAATTAAAGAGATAGGATGCCACTATTTTGGCGTAAGATATTACTCCAACGTTGAAGTTCAGAGTCTGGGAAGGATGGAAAGCATCCCAAAATAGATATAAAGGCCTAAAGATAAAGCTGCAGGGTGCTTCTCCAGGAATGCACTGTGCAATATCTGAAACTTTGCAGCATGGTCTGTTGAAAATTTGCAATCCTGAGAAAACAATTGCATTAGGTCAAATGAGCATTACCCTTAATTACTAGAAAAATCTTAAGTTCGACTTTGTAGTTTGTACTACGTTAAGAACAGAATTGATGGAATTGGACAATGCTTTCTGGACAGAAGGAGTATATATATAATTTAAACTAGTTGGTAAAAAGAAGAACTTACCAATTGTTGTTGGGTCTCCTGGTTGCGCGGTGTAGCTGTCGATGTAGATGAATTTAGCACCAGTTAGCTCCGTATTGAGCTCATCCACAAGCAACTTAAGACGATCATTGAATAGTTTCACCGCAACATTAATTTCATTTACGCAGGTTGAGCTGTTGGAAGAAGACATCTCAAATGGAGTACAACCTAGTGGACCCACCCCGAATAGGGCAATTTTTCTAGCTCCATTGTTGTACAGCGTCTAGCATGAATTAATCCAACATTAAATATGTCAAAGAAATAAATTGGCAATTTTTTTTTTTTTTTAAGAAAATGGCATAGGTCCATACCGTTAATTGCTGAGAATATTGTAGAATTAAGGCAGCAGCATATTGGTCTGGGGTGTATAAACTGCTGGTGTTGTAACTCTCTGGATGTAAGTAGTTGTTGATGTAATCATTACTGCCGATGACAACGTTGTACAAGCATTTTCCCAGGTGTGATTCTGCTGCGGTTTGATTTCCAAGTATAGAACTCAGTTGTGAAACTACTGTTTCATGGTTTTGTAACTGCCTGTTGAAGTTAATGTTTTCACCCTGGAGGAGCACATTTGAAGTTAATGTTTTCACAAGTAAATTAACAAAGTTAATTCCCCAATTCAAAAAACCGTGCTTTTTTTTTTTTATCTCAAACATAAATATTTTTGTTTTAGTTTAACAAACACTACGTTTTTAAACGGAGGAAAAAGTGCTAATCAAATTTTGCCCAAACATGCGAATTGGGATGGGGATGAGATCCACGTCCTTATTACTTAGATAACACAATCAGAAGCTCATGAATCATGATTTGAATAGCTATGGAATAAAAACAACACGCCACATTTACTTTAATGTTTTTTTTTAATAGGTACATGTAGTTCCCCCCGAGCATATGAAAACACATCATGATGCAGAGAAAGTTGATTGAAAACATTGTTGTACCAACTAAAGCTCTTTTTTTTTTTTGTTTTAACAAAGAAAATTATATCCACTAATTATAATTTATTTAACAAACTCTTATCAACAGCAATTGGTTAACACGCCAAAGTAGACATCGTAGAAGAAATCTGCAAATTATAAAATAAATAAAATTCTCCAAGTATGCGCTTTTAATACTGCGTTTTCTGCTCCCTCCATTATTTTTAAAAGTCAATTTTATTCTACTTAGTTCAGCAAATTATATTTTTTAATCTCAATTTAATTTGTAGTATATTACTACCCATCACCTGCAGATGACATTGCCTTGTAGTCGATCGATCTAGCATATCGTTGAATTTGAAAAAATATATGTATTTGGAATAAAGACCTGTTACCCACCATTTTGTCCTTAATTCTCTCTTACATCATTGCATACTTCAAAGAATGAATGATTAGACTATACATGATGAAGAACAAAGTTAAAACGTAAGAGTTTTTTAAACGTAGTTACAACCATAATAGTACAGAAAAATTTACCAAGTGAGAACCAGTCTCATCACGAATTCCAGCTGAACCAGAAGCATAATTCACACCGCTAATGAAATCTCCACTTTTAGCCATTGCGAATGGAGGAATATAGTCATCGAATCCTAGTAGATTACCTGTAAGGTTTAGATGGATGATGAGTAAAACCCCCACGGTACAATAATTACAACAATAAGAAATTTCCCGATTTATATTATTGCTCTAAAAATATGTTAATTTATCACTAACATTTGCCAGCGTTAAAAATGATAAGCGAAACTGCAGGCGGAATCTTATGACTATCAAACTTTCATCACACATCAATCATATTTACATGAAGTCAGCTAAGAGGAGTTGACCGATATAATTTTAACTAGATACTCCCTACGTTTCGAAATTATATATTATCTAACTTGGATTTTTTAACTTTGAGTACAAATTGAACTAAATATAAAAATTTGAATTGGATAATAATTTTGAAACATAGGTAGTATATGAATTCAAATGATAAATAGGTTTAGATACGAGTTGGGTAGATAAAATAAATAGTACTGAACTTAGTTTCAAATTAAAATGGGATAGGTCATGAATATATCTATATATGGTCACGAAGAAGAAAATATAATGCATTTTTATACCACTCAATACAATAATTCGAAGTAACTCATAAAGGGATGTGACAACATTACCTATGACATCGACAACCGTCCGACCATTGGTGAATCTACCAGTTGCGCCGTTCGGAAAATCGATCCCGTAGGGATAGTAATTAGCCTTGGCCGATGTATTCAGATTGTTGTTGTTGCCACTGTCAACTAAAGAGTCTCCAAAGATGAAGTAACAAGGAAATAGAGATGCTGCTGAGACTGGTGACAAAGTTTCAGACAAGATCAATCCTATGGAGACCACCATAAACCAAGTTGAAGATGGTCTAAAAGCCATTTTTATGGTGAACTGATTATGCAAGTGTGCTTTAAAAGTTTAAACCAAAAGAAGCAAGCATCTATGTTTATAGAGAACCAGACTTAAAAATACTGTGTGAACGAGTTAGCTTGGCAGAGTTGACATAAATTTTTGGGCTAACTTGGTCGCAATTATGGGTTGAATATTAATTAAAATCTCATGCCGAGATCGTGTGTTTTAAATATTTTTTGAAAAAATATTTTGCGTTCTTTAGAGAGATTCAACTCGGTATATAGGAGGAGTGGGACATATTACATGTTTGATGTAAATTAATTTGAGCTCGATATACATGCACTTACTAGGATAAGTATCACTTCCAAGTTCCAACAATAAAATAAAAATTGTAATTGAAGAATTTCGAAGAGTGACAAGGTTTTACATTGACTTATTGTTAATATCACTAATTTGATATTGTTAACGGGCTCTCTCTTCACGAAATTAAAATTAGAAAAAAGCTCTCTCACTTGAGTGATGTTGATTAAAACCGGAGTAAACTTTGCGTGTTGTAGTGCTTGATTACTTTGATGAGAAATAGGGATTACCTTACCTCGTCATAATAATATACTTCATCTGACCAGAAATAGGGATTACACACACTTCCTTTCTAATACTAAGAGCAATTACAGAAGTGTGGTTTAAACCGAAAGAATCAAGTCATGAAGAACCAGACTCAATTATACTGTGAACGGTAGCATGGCTGAGTTGACTTTTTATGGGCTAAAATTAGTCTTCAATTGGTACAATATTTTTATCCTGTCATGTTCCGATCGCGCGCGTAAATGTGGAATATATATACTTGTACTAGTTGTTATAACGGGCACTTTAGGTAGCATCGGGCGGGTGGGCACGCGCTTCCACGCGTGCTCACCTCTATTTTTGCCTTTTTTTTATTTTTTTAATTTTATTAATTTTATTATTTTTAAATTTCAACTTAAACACTAATAACTAGACCCTAACTTGTTTAAAATGCTTAAACTCACCTAAAGCCTAAACACTAAACACATTATGTTTTTATTCGGTTTAAATTTTTTTAATCCAATTAGGCTTGGGTTGAATTAAAAACATTTATTTTTATCACACATTAAATCTTAACATATTAATTGCATGTGTAAAAGTGGTTGAAATTATATTTAAAAAATATTTTATAAGGTTAAAAAAATTAAAATACAAAAATAAAATTAAAAAAAAAAGAAAAGAAAAGAGCATTGAGCAAGTACGTGCAGTACACCCCTGTCCAGCCCGGTGCTACCTAAATTGGTAGCACCGGTGCTCAATATAATTTGCCAATATACTTGTATATTGCTTTATTAAACTTTGGGGTTCCGTAAGGAATGATGAGTGACGGACATGCATACATATACACATTGAACATATAGTGACCATAAAATATTTATTGGAAGTGTGATGAAAATTATCTTAAACCAAAATGAAAAAAGACAAAATAAAAAAAAAAAAAAATGTGGAGCTCAACACCTAGTTGTTCCAGTCATCCATTGCAGTTTACGATGGAACTTGAGTGTTGTTAAAACCGAAGTAACCTTTTGACTCATCATGCCTCTTTTTTTTTTCTTTTTGAAATATAAAGGCTGGAGCCTGATAGCCTGATATATGATAACTTAGCTATATATATGTTTAGATGGTTTTTTATTGTGTGTTTTTAGTTGTTTTTTTTATTAAAAATATTAAAAAATTACATTGAAAATGTAAAAAAATATATTAAGGTGAAATAGTTATTATTATATTATTTTTAAAAATCTACAGAAAAAAAACTAACCAAACAGAAGTATGGGTTCCTTGGTTGACTTTGACTTTAATAGAATAATACTGGGATTGTTGCTAGAATATTTATTTTTAGTATTACAGCGCCAACTAAGGGATTTCTGATTTCAACAAATAGCAGCTAGGGAATGATTCAATTTGATACTCAGTCCCTCCCGGATAAGTGGAGAATCACTATTGATCCATTTGAAAAAAAAAAAGAATATATAATTATTATTCTTTCTCTTTTAGAAAAAAAAAACTACTTTTATGAATTAAAATAATAAAACAAAGTAAACTATTTTCTTGACAACAAAAAAAATCTTCGGGTATCTTTAGTTTTTACAAGGATTAAAAAAGTATGAAAAGTAATAAACGATTTTTGTTCATTAAGAAAATGGATTACTGATGTCGAAAATCATTTGCTGAAGTCGCCAGAAATACCGAAGTCTAGGCTTTGATCTAGTTGTTAACCTTGGCACATGGCCACATGCTCATTTTGTTTGACTTTTTATCATCTCATGTTGTTTGTCGATTTACTAAAATGACTACCTTTTAAGATAGACAGTGAAACAAATAAAACAGTTATTTTGATACAGGAAATATTATTTACTGAACTTGAGAAAGTGAGCTTAGTGTGTTACAAAATAATTCAAGATCCATGGCTTAACACTTAAAGTTGCATTCCAATTTAGCCTGCTAGTTGACTTTGTATTTCAATTTGACCACGTTGCGGTCTGTACTCACTACTCAGTAAATTTTGTGTCTACTACTTTTCCTGGACCTGTACGCGTATGAAAAGGGAAGGACCTCTGGTCTATTAGGTACTCCTTCTAGTCTTTATTATAAGTTATTTGTTATGGAAAAATCTGATTTGATTAATTGTCTACATTAATATATACTCCCTTCGTCTCATAATTATTGTCCACTTTGTCAAAAAAATTTTGTCCCAAAATTATTGTTCAATTTGACATTTTTTATGGATCAAGTACACATTTGTCCTTAGTAAAAAACATTATCCATAAAATCTTAGTGGTTAAACAATTACTTATGTAGGAGTATATCCGGTTGTTTAAGGTAAAATATAGTTAAGTTTGACCAAAAATAAAATCTTTCATTTTAGTAAAACTGGACAATAATTATGGGACGGAGGGAGTATTATTCCATTCACTATTAAGGAGATATTGTTCTGTAATATTTAGCATTAATGATAGGTGATTCATTTCCCACAGTTTGATCCCATGTTTCTTATATAAATAGGGAGCTCATTCATGCTTCAAAACACATCTGAATACAAGTCTCTTATCTCTCTCTACTCTCTTGTCTCTTCTCTTTCGTTCTTGTGCTTAGTTCATATTAGTAGTTTATCATTTATTTTATAACACGATATCAGTACGAAGATTCTAGCAAAAGAGCTTCTACCACCGCCTGAAGTTGGTGCATGTTGATTTTGAAGGCCTGAAGCCTCAATTAATATTTTAATTCTACCACCGCTTGAAGTTGGTGCAAATTGATTCTGAATGCCTGAAGTCTGAATGAATATTTAAAAGGTTTTCGTGATCTAAAGCGACGTGACCTCAAAAATTTTTCGGTGCACAAGTCTCTGGCCACACTGAGACGGTTCATCATGGAGCTCAATTTAATGACTCAAAATGATCATGATGGGAGAAAAGGGTAAATAATAAATCATGCATATTTGGTTGCATATGAAGGAAAAATATTTCTTGTTATAAATTCTATTTACTCATATCATACAATCACGGTGTAATTTTTAAGCTATGTATATGATTGTTGATCATGTGGATGTATAAAATTTATATAAGTTGCATGTAGTTGCGATTTTTAAGCTATGTATATGATTGTTGATCATGTGGATGTATAAAATTTATATAAGTTGCATGTAGTTGCGATAGTATCCATGTGTGTAAAGAAAAAAATGTTTTCTTTAAAAAATTAATTTCTTTGATATTTAGATTGCAAGGAAAGCACTTTGTTTTATTATCATATTCTTATTAATATTAGTAAAAATGTAGTGATAGAAAGAAATCTCATTCTCATATTTTACTGTATACTTATATATTCTACACTCATAGTATTGTTGATATTTACTACTGCAAGTAAAATATATTGCTAGTAGCGTATTTAAATGCATCAAAGTTGCTCCTGAAGTAGTAATGTTGCGATAGCATATTTACCGTATTAAATTGCTCAAGTAGTAGCATTATCGCAAAATGTTCTCTGAAAATAAATCTTATGAATTATTTTCTTTCTATTCTCTGAAGTGAGTGGGCCTTAAATTATTTCAAGGAAAATCGTAGACATTAAATCTACATTAATTATATATAGTATACAATTCTTCACCTGAAGTTAGAAAGTAAATGAAAACATGTTCAATTTATATATGGTCCATTTTCTGAAGTAAATGTGACGATTATAAAAAAGTGATAGTGGTAATTCTGACAAATACACTATTAACCACTTGAAGTTGGAAAAATAGTGAATGTATCATTGCATCTAGAAGAGCAATTGGAATTGAATATTGTTGAATATTGAAAGAAGAAATAACATTAAGATTATCCAAAGAATCAAAGAACGATAGACATTGTTCTAACCGTCTCCAGCATAAGAGCAATACACTTTACTTTTAAAAGAGCAAGAACACTATGATAGAATGAAAATACTCATGTAGAGTATCATTATCTCAATAAGATTATATATATGCTCCAGAAGAGCAAGAATACTTATGGTAGAATGAAAATAACTGAATAATAGATACTCTGTCAAAGTAAACACTCATGTGAAGCGAAATCGTTCTGATATATTTGAATAATTGATTCGCTATTTTTCTCCAGAAGAGAAATTCTATAGTTTGGCATAATTACTTAAGCCATTATGCTCTTACGAGAATTTTGATTTGCTAATTGTGGCGAGTGTATGACTCAATACCAGAATGATAGAAGTTGAACATTGAGTGCCTAAAAGAGCAATAATGAAGCGGTCTAGTAGAATCATTTTATTGCATGTATGCAATTAAAGTAATTACCTCATGTATAGTTGAGAAAGTGTTGAAATACAAAAGGCATCAATTATATGCATAAGACCAAACAGGTCATTGCAGATATTCTCCCCAACAGTGATTTTTTGTCAGAAACCATACATATCAATTTTCAAAGATTACATGTGCAATCAATATTATAATTATTCCACCACAATGCACACAATGATGGAACCTCCAGAAGAGGTCAGAAATATATGTTGAATATTGAATCTTTAATGTTTGAGATTATTGATGTTGGATTAACTATTCGATGGATTGATCATATTAGTTTGACGGGTTAGTTACTCCGAAAAGGAGATTTATTAACTACTCGATTGGTTAATCATTATTTTAGCGAGTTAGTTATCCTAACATCAGGGGGAGAAGTTAAACAAATATATTTATAAAATCAGATGAACAATGTAATTATCCCATTATGATCCTCGATGATATGAACCTGAAGTTCAAGAGGTAATGTTTAAGACCAGATGTTTACTTGACCGAATCTATAAATATATCTTATATAAAAGGCTGTTAAAACTTAGAATTTGATAATGTGTCCCTGAAGGACTACCTACCACTATTTGTTAGTTGAATGTCCATTTGATGAGTGGTAGAACCATCGATTCCAAATGATAAAAATTCTCGTAAATGACAAGATTTAAATCTATAGAGATGACAAATACGAGTGATTATAATTCATAAGAATTTTGAATTGAAATAGTTTCCCATTACGGTTAATTAACTTCCAGAAAAAATGTATGATTACTTGGGAAACTTAATGATTGTGAGATCTCATTAACAAAGAACATGGAATCGATCAGCAATAAAATGTCGACATGAAAATTGCTTATGTTGTAGTAGTAGAATAAATGAAAATGAGGATCATGAAATGAAAATCTGTGTTGGATACAGACATTAAATTTATTGCCCATAATACATGAAAAGACGTAATACACACCTATATGTGTTGTACATACATTTTGGAATTGTTTCAAGCAATAGAAGTTTTGAAAGGTAATACACCGGGTAAATGTTGTTGGGTGATTATACAAACGATTAATGAGCAACCAACTTATTGTAAAAAAGAATTTCGAAGTCCGGATATTAATAATTTAGAGATAGATTTTCTTGTGGTGGATGAAAATATTGATTCTTCCGTTATTTGCTAAATCTGGTAGCAAATGAAGAAATAAAATGCGTCTAGTGAATATAGTGATCACTTGAAATAATACTTGATATTTGCCATTTGAAAATGGCGTTTATATGAAATCTCTGAAGGATTCAATAAGGGACATGATTCCGATTCTCGAGAAATTAATTCAAAGGACTTGCGCAAGTTATAATGTCTTCATGTGTCTAGATATTTAGGTTCATATTTTTTAATATAATAGATATGCTATGTTTTTATCTAGATATGTTATGTTTGTTTGTAACATGATTTTCTATCTATTTTTATGATCATATTTGAATGATAGGATAATAACTAATACTAGAGTGAGTATTCTTAAGTCATATGTTCATTACAATTTTGTTATCACCGAACTCTTTTAGAGTTTCAAAAGGCTGAATATTATCGAAACTTATCACGAAGTTCGAATAGTTTGAATATAAGTAAAACTCCTGAAGAGTTACATCAGAGTTTTGAACACTTCTAAGGAAGTTCAAAAGGTTGCTATTTGCATGAAGCAAGGATAATGAAAGATTTTAAGTAGAATCTCGGTCTAAATAGTTTGACCTTTATATATTCAACACCTGCTGGGCGCACTTGATTAAAATCTCGATGTGCATATAGATCATTCTTCTTGACTTTCTATTAATGATGTGGATCGATTTCGTCTTGAAGTACCATATAAAGTTTCGGTTTATCTAATCAATTAGTCAAACTTGGATGTTGTATATTGATACCTTCAAGGTATGATGGTCATGCATCTCCATTATTATAAAACACTCAAGATTATACAGGTATATGAATACAACCGTCTACATGAGAAGTCGAAGTAATCTGTCTATCATTGATTTAAACAATCATGAACCTGGTCAATAGTTTGGCATGCAACAAGAAGATTACAAGTAGCGTACTTAACAGGGGGAGTAACCCACGCTATACTCTTTTTCCCTAGATCGAGGTTTTGTCTCAATGGTTTTTCCTGACAAGGTTTTTTAACGAGCTAGCGTCACATTCGGAAATGTACTCTTTTTCCTTCATAGGGTTTTATCCCAAAGGATTTTTCCTGGTAAGGTTTTAACGAGGCATTATTTCGCAACGATGGACATTCAAAGGGGGAGTGTTATGGAAAAATCTAATTGTGATTGAATGTCTACATTAAATATGTATTATTCTATTCACAATTAAAAAGATATGATTCTATAATATTTAGAATTAATGATAGGTGATTCATTTCCCACAATTTGATCCCTGTTTCTTGTATAAATAGCGAGCTCATTTATGCTTCAAAACACATCTGAATACAAGTCTCTTATCTCTCTCTACTCTCTTGTCTCTTCTCTTTCGTTCTTATGCTTAGTTTACATTAGTAGTTTATCATTTATTTTATAACAGTATTTTAATTTTGTTTTAGATTTTACCTTTTTTTATTTAAAAAATCCAACCTGGTGGACACTACTTAAATGTGGGTAAAACTCCCTTATAACCCTTGTGGGAATTGAACCCTAGTCTATTATCAGGAAAGACAGCAATCTAACCACTAGACTGTCATTCAATTCCCATTTTAATCAGGAATGTGGTTTTAGATTTCACCTAATATACATTTTTAATTGACGAATCAAAATGTATTATATTAAAGATCAGAAGGAGTATTTAGTATCTGAATCCTGAAATTTTTATTTCGACTAATTCAAATTCGAGTCAGATAGATTATTTTCGAAAAAGCAAAATATTTAGTCAATACTTAGACCAAGTGCCTGCCACTAAAATGACCCACTCTTCTTTTCTTTACTTTTTATTTTTGGATTTAGATAAAAGATCCACTTTTCCATTGTATAAAAATCATGATACATTATTCACTCTCAGGAAAGATAATTCTGGCCAATTTTACACGGAAGGAGAAATCTCCTCCTAACCAAGATGACCAGAATAACACTACACAATATACGGAGCCACTGGGCCGGAGCCATTTGGTGCACAAGTTCAAGAAGATTAAATCACAACATTTTTATTATGAAAGAAATGCAAATTCATCACTCATTCACTCCATCCGAATTAGGCAACGGAGGCCTTCTCCTTTAAGCATGAACTCAAATGCCTTGTTAATCTCCGAGAATGATACTTCATGAGTGATAAACTTTTCCAATTCCAGTTCCTGTAACACACAGCAAAAGTAATGATTTTGAGTAAAATTCGACCTAAAATATTCCTTTCGTCCCAAAAAATTTGTAGATAGTTGAACAAAGTAGAAGAGGAGTATATTCTGTTAATTAAAAAAATGCTGTAGCTTTAGACTTGCCTTGTTCATGTACTTCTCTACAACAGAGGGCAGGTCAGAACGAGGCTTATAATTTCCAAAGAAGGTACCCTTGAGAGTCCTCTCAGTCAGGAAATTCACAGGATGTGTCTTGAAGACTGCTTCTTTATGTGGCACCCCAACCAGAACAGCCACTCCCCATCCGTCGTGGACGCATTCGAAAGCCGAGATCATGGCGTTAATGTTTCCGGTGCACTCCACACTCCGATCCACCCCTCCATTAGTCATCTCAACAATCACCTAAGCCAAAAATTCAATCACAAATCAGTAAGCATAACAATGAATGTAAAGCTCTAAAAATGTACTATCTCGCAACAAGCTCGAATACTTATGGTGAGATCAAAAAACCTCTTGAACTGGCTTATCGTAGTCTTTCGGATTCACAAATTCATTCACCCCAAACTTCTTTGCTGCACATATACACAAAAGCCAAAAAAAATAAAATAAAATGGCATTAGCCAATGAAGCATACTTGCGGAGAACAGAACAGTTTTACGAAGAGCATTGGCATCAGCTCAATTGATTGCTTTCACAGTCATCTGATTACAAATCAGGCGTAAAATTTTTCATTAGATATGAGAATCATCAGTTACCTTCCTCAAACCTTGCAGGATTCAAATCAACACCTATTATCCTTGAAGCACCAGCTAATCTTGCCCCTTCTGCAGCCTGATCATGCAGATTAACCATAATGAAATGAGACAAAATCTTGAGCAAATTTAGATTGAATAATCAAAGCAATCAGTTCATTTTCCGCAGTTTAAGAACTTACAGCAAGGCCAACAGCTCCCAAACCAAAGACAGCCACCGATGAGCCCTTTTTCGGTTTAGCAACATTCAATGTGGCGCCGAGGCCTAATCAAGAAGCAAACTTTTAGTAACAACGAATAAGATGCATAACACTGAGTTTAAGCAATTAAATTCTAAACTTGAATTTATTCGTATACCTGTGGAGATTCCACAACTGAGAACACAAACTTTATCAAGAGGAGCAAGGGGATTGACTTTGGCAACACAACCAACATGGACAACAGAGTATTCACTAAATGTGGATGTGCCCACAAAATGGTAAATTGGCTGTCCATTTTTGGAGAATCTGGATTTACCATCACTAAGCATTACGCCCCTGTCCGTATTGATCCTCAACAGGTCGCACATATTGCTTTCTTCTGATTTGCAGTGAGCACATTCTTTGCATTCCCCTGTAAAAACAGGGAGAACATGATCCCCTGCCTCAAGTTCTGTCACACCTTCTCCCACACTCTCCACAATCCTAAACAATCAGATAAGTATATAAAATCAGAATACGATGAAATAAAAAACACCCTTAAATCACTATGATATGGGTTTAAAATTTAACATACCCTGCAGCTTCATGGCCTAGAATTCGTGGAAAGACGGGATTTTGGCCCTGCATCAATCAGGGAGATCGTTTCAAATTCAGCTTAAACTGATCATTTTATAATGTTATAATTAAGAAGAACAAGGAAATTAATCATATTCAAGACCTCAATTAAGAGGAAAATAATTGCAACATATTTAGTACCTTGGCTTCCCAGAAGTAAACATCAGTGTGGCAAAGGGAAGTGAAGAGAATCTTGAGACGAACTTCCATTTTTTGAGGAGGTGCCACCTCCACTTCTTCGATGACTAAAGGCTTCCCTGCTTCCCATGCAACAGCAGCTGAAGCAACCAAAAGTCAAGTCAAAATTGGGTTTTCTTCAATCTGTAAATCGGAAAAATATTGCTAAAATGAACACAAAATGGTACCTTTGCAACGAATGACCTGCCCGACTGTGCTAGACATCTCTTCTTCTTCTACTTGATTTGGTTGAAGGGTTTTTTTTTTTTTAATAGAAAGTAAGTATCTTGATTTGTTGTTGAGTATAAATGATAACTGATTTGCTGATGAATTACTAGACTGTTTTTATAGTGAACCTTGATTACTTGAACTAAATGATGTAGTTACGGGGGTATTTATACTTGATCTCATGGCAGTTTTTTAATTAAGCAATTTTTCCTTCAACAATATGAATATTCCTACATAGATATTTGAATACAACAACAGGCCCTTAAAATAAACGACATTGCCAGTGATTCCCTAATCACTATTACTAGTTTTTGACTTCTGGTGGCCTACTTTGAAATACTGCTTTCCGGTTTTGCTTGCCAACTCCCTAATTTTATTGAGTTAATTAGTGAGACTCTGCCCCAGATTTTGAGAAGCTACGGATCGGTCCTCAAAGTTTGATGAAATTATAATGATCCACCAATGGTGAAAATGCGCAAAATGGTGAATCCATCCTATTCTTGTAAATTATCCAGTTAAAAACAAAGAAAATATGGTTTAGAATTATTTTTTTTTTAACGAACGAGAGAGAATGTTATAATTGGGCGGGATAGATGCGTCGGACTTTGTAATAAGTGGCTGCCATATCCAGTTAAAATTACACAAGTGTTGAAAGGGTATATAATATACTATCTCCGTCTCCAAAAAAATAGTGCACATTGAGTTTTTAAATTTATACTAAAAAAAGTATAAAACTCAAAACTCTAAGTGGACTATTTTTATGGGACGGAGGGGGTATTATACTTAACAGGATTAGGTGTAAGTTTCACAAATGTTGAAGGTTATTTGTAGTTTCTCTCCAAACATTAACTTCACCGTTACTCAATTTTGTGGAAGCATTTTGATGGAGACAAGTTGACCACTATCAACCTTTTATTCTAACGAATATTATTATATTATTTAATTAAGCAACTGTTATTAGTAATCCAACCAATAGAAATCAAATTGTGAATACACTGAACGCAAAATGTCACAAACAATAAACAGTTTAATGTGATGAGATTAGCATACGCAAAATTTTGTCCAGCAGGATTTGACAAGTTTGGCCCTAATCCAGTTTTCCTATCAAAATGCAATGTATTTCTCAAAGTCCGAACTCCGGAGCTTTGTTTGGATGGGAGATGGAGGAGGAATAAAGGGGTTTCGTTAGTGGTTTTGACACTATTTATGTTTGCCCCAACTTGGCATTGAAACTATTTAGCTAACATACTGTATACATGATGGTTTCTGCCACTTGCTATCATGCGAGTCATTGGCCTTTTGTTTTGTGAGGTCAACTTTGATTTACCACATCCCGAGTGGACATAGTTACATAACTGTTTGAATTTTATTATTAAAGCTAAAACAGAGACAAAAAGGTTGTCAATTAAAGAAAGGAGCAGATATGTCACAGAGGAATATTCTTTATCTCTGCACTGTAGATTCATTCCATTGAGGTATATATTTTAAGGATAATTATTTATGGAGAAAAGTTTATAGGCAATTTTAATAGTAACTAGTCTTTTATGTGTAGCGCGTTGCGCGATCATTGTATCGATTAATTCTTTTACATTTTTTATTTTACACATTCCGGAACACCATAAATATTTATGAGAAAAGCAAAAGAAATAATTTTTATTTATTTTATTTTGGAAAAAAATTATAATAATGTCTAAAGTTTTCTTAAAATATGTTACTATAAATTATGTAATTTGAGTAATCACTTCATTAAAACTCTTGACTATTGCGCTGTGAAATAAAAACTATGAGTCTCAAAAGCTTACCCGCCAATGGTGACTTCATTATTGTTTACATTGTCAAATTTAGCACAACAATAAGTGTTACAAAAGCTTACAGAAGACGATGAGCAGCCATTTCATACATGCAGTAGGTTATTTTTTCAAAAATGAAACATAAAGGAAAGCATCAGAACTTGAAGAAAAGGCGAGAAGCTAACAATATAAGCAAAAGGCATGACCAAAAGTATTCGATGCATATTAGATTCAAAGCAGCTATTTTACAAGAAGAAAAGTTAAAATTGAGAAAATGATCTTCCATGATACAACAAAATTTAAATGCAGGTCCATTGTGTAAAACCTCAGACAAGTAAAGAGCCAATATTAATTTAAATTACTAAATTACCAAGCATTACTACACTAAAATAACATGTAATGGAATCTTATGCTTATATTGGAGAAAGAATTACCTAACTTACGTCCTTTCGCCTACTCGTTCTTCTTCAACAGTATCATTGACGCCGCTCCGCAACTTTTTTCTTCGACAGAGGGGAGAAAAGAATTTGATCGGGTTTTGGGTATAGATTTGATCGGTTTCGGCCAGCCGCAGCTATGAGCACTGCTCCACCACTTTATTCGACTGGGGGAGGTGGAAAATTGACGGACAGAGGCTGCAATTGTTGACTGGTTGGCTTTTGTTACAAGAGGAGCTTAAAACACCAAACAGGGGAGAAAATCAACGTCGGTAAAGGAAGATGCAAAAAAGGACTTCATTGATTTCTACTTTCCAGCTCCATCGCACTATTGCTGACCACTTAAGAGTACAGAACATCAATGATCCCAAATTGCAGTACATGAGGACAAATAAATTAGAACTTTGCAATGATGAAAAAAATTAGTCACGGAAGTTATGATCTTTCTTGATTAATGATGATTTACCTAGGGTTTCAATAGCAGGAGGAGGAGGGGAAAGTGCATTAATGGAGGGAGTTGTTGACAAGAAGGCACACAAAATCTTGGTGGCACCGCTTGCGACGAGGCGGTACGCAGGATCGACAATCTTGGACAACCACCACCGGCTTCCAGTCTGGGATACGCTAAAACAACAGACATGGGGAAAAAATTACCTTAATGAAGCCGAAAGTAATTGATGTCCAAGGAAGCTGGAAAGTTGAAGAAGAAAAGCTGCATCAGATTCTAATTGTGATGTGTGCTGGGGATTTTATAGACGTGGTTGACGACGGAGATTTTCTATTCCTAAAAGGATTCTGGAATCGTCGATGCAAACAAACGAAAATTTCCTAGTCCTTATACAATACAAATCTAAATTTACATCTTAATAAAAATCTAAAATTAATTGGAAATTTTCTAATCTTAATACACATGCGAATTTGTCGTCACATCCGTCTGCACCGACTTTACTGTCACACCGCCTGCTCCGCCATTACCACCTCCTTGTTTTTGTCAACACTGCTTTCACCGCCATGACATCCTCCCCCACCTCCATTAAGGAAGGGTTGAATGGCCGATTCAATAGGCAGCGGTGGTTTGAAAAGGAGTAGTCGGGAGTAGAAGAGCTGTCCGTTTTGCAGGGTTTTAGTCCGACGTTCATATTTATAGTTAGGGGAAAAAGGATCAAAACTACGTCGCTGATGCCATGTGGGTTTTTTTCCCAAGAACATGTGGTATTTTTAACCGAGGGAACATAAAATTTTGGACACAAAATTTATGAAATTCCATTTTTAACCCTAATAAGTCGCTGACGCCATATCTACCCCATCCGACGGATAAGATCGATTTGATGTTGGTCCTTGAATATTTTTTGGGCATTATTTCTTGCCTATTGTGCCTTTTATTTAAGTAGTAGTCTTTTGGTATCGCGCGTTGCGCAACCAGTCTTTACTAATACTTGTATAATATAAATCGTAATTAAGAATATTTTAAAAAATATATATTTCTCTGTTGGACTTAGTAATGTAGACGTGTCATTTTTCAATGCATATATAAAGGAAGGAAACATTGGATTTTTGAAACATGCGTGTTTAGGAACTTGAATAGCTGAAATGAAGAATGTGCATACCTTTTCAGGGTTCTCAACGATTTCTGTTGCAGTGAAACCCAATATCTTTTCTGCGATGCTACCGAAAGTGCTAGCTTGGATTGATCCGCTCTCGTCATGAATGTTAGCTCTTAGACGATACCTAGAATGACAACAATAAGATTTAGGAATATTTCGAAATCATCTAATCGGCTAAAATGTCACATATAATATTTCTAAATTTCCATATGTTTCAGAACTGTATCTTAAGAAATTGAAATTGATATACTTTGGGTTGGTTGCAGATTGCTTTAATGACCACTTGTTGCATTTGAAATCTTGTTGATAGATTGTTGATGTTCCAGTGCCGCATTCCTTGCAAGCCATGTAGTAGAATGGTTGTGGTATGTCTCTGAACTCAACGTGGACTTTGACTAAGATATCCTAATTTTTTTTTGACAAAATTTAAAGCTTAGTTAATTTGAATGAAGAAATATAAGAAGAACTAATACACGTTGCATAAAGAATATTAGGAACCAAGCGTGTTAACCTGTTGTTCATCATCGATATGTATGACTGGAGTGATTTGTGAAAGGTTTTTGTGACTGATGCCAGGAGTAGACGAGAATGATGGTTTATTCTGCAAGAAAAGATCGATTTCCTTCTTGTTTTATTGTGACATGAAAAAGTTAAAAAGGTAATTAATATGCTGAAAATTTTTATAAAAGTTGGTGTAGAAAATAAAAATATATACCAGTTCTTCAATTTTCTTGCTTTGTCAGAAGGAAGATTGATTGAAACCACCGATCTATGTAAAGTTGTTACCTCAATTCCTGATTAATATGAGAATTAAATTATCAGAGAACAAGTGTGTAGAAAAAGTATGGTTGAGGAGTCTGCTTTAAAAAGGGCTTATTAGTGTACGTTGCATGGAGAGATAAGCATCCGGCGGCAAACGACGGTTGGGTAACTCTTAGCTTGAACTTGTTCAGTTAATAATATTCCAACATCCTGTTGGAATTCTTCCCAAAGCGACAATCTCACATATTGCAACCTGATTGAGAAGGCAGTACCGAAATTAAGTGTTAGCTACTTTACCAAAATATCATGATTAAATTCCGTAAATTAAAACAAAGAGGTGTATTGCGAATTAAATATCTAGCAAACCTTTTGCTACCATTTCAGAAAACGAGATGCAACATACAAGTGTAACAATAGTACATGAAAACAATCACAAAAGGACAACAGTAATCAGATTATCAAAATGGAAAGCAGCTCATAAAACTACAGGAGTATCATCCTTGTAACTCTAATGGGAACTTCACGGAAAATAAATTTGGCATTTCGAAAAAGCATTGTATAAATAATTCGAAAACCATTATATTGAACTTACACTCTTAATTTAGTTTACAGAACTTCTGGATCATTCTTTTTTTTCCTTTTCCTGTCATAACAGTTTGCGGGTGGCTTCTCTCGACTATGACACTAATAACATCTGTAAGAAAAAGATTGTTTAAAAGAGTATAGATCAACATAAGTTTTCTAATTGATAAGAACGTTTAAGTAAAACAAATACACTTCCCAACAAAATCATCCTGAACACCAGCAATATCATTAAGGGAATCAAAGGGCGTGTATTGCTCCTTGGTCACAAGAGTAGTAATAGGTTCGTTAACCTCTTCAACAACCGGCCCAATACCAATGACCCATTGTTGAAAAGACCAGGAGACCTATACTCTGGTTTAATGTACCGGATAGGTGCGTTGGAGACTCAGTATTTTCTACACGTTTGGAATCGTGGTCCCATGATGCTAACGGCCTGTCCGAACATAATACCTTTTATTTTAGCACCCTACAATAATAAATCAAATATTATATTATGAATATGTGAGATGAAAATTAGTATGACAACTAACAAATATAGATAATGTAATTCACCTTTTCATCGCTGAATACCATCTTTTGGGTTTTGTTGTAGTGGCCGAATGGATTTTACTTCTCCTCAACAGTGATAATAGCAGTCCAAGGCTGATTAGAGTCGTTGAGCTTATCAATTTCAACCTTGTTCGCAATCATCTTTAGTGCACAAGGAGCCATTCTAAAAAAATTTGCGGGAAGGGAAAAAAAATAGGTATAAATAATATGCAAGAATTTTTGGGATGCCGTAATTGGAAATCCGACTGGGATGCCATTCTATTTGTGAGGGTTGTTGTTGTATTTATAGAGCGGATGCCGTCGTGGTGTTTGTGATTCGATTGGGATTCACAAATTAGGGGACAAATAAGAATTGGAAATTTTGCCTATTTTTTGGGTGATTTCCTACCGTAATTGAATTTGTAATTCAATTGGGATTGTAAAAGACGGGGACAAATCTGAATTGAGAAATTTTCTTTTTTTTTTTTTGCTGATTTCCTAATCCAATTTGAAGAAGAAGAACGGAAATCGTTGCTTGGAGGCCCAAATTAACTACACAGCTCAATGTCATGTTCAGAGTATTGGTAGGAATGCCGTTGGCGGTGCGATGGTTTTGGTGGATAAGCTGCCGCTGGAAATGGAGAAGCGAGAGTCAAATTCTGCCGGAAATGTAGAGGATGATCTATTAGACTGAGGGGGCAGGAGGAAGAAGCAGCGAAGGAAGAATTTTTTTGATGGAGGGTGGCGGAGGGAGAAGGTGCGAAGGTGGGTGGCGGAGGGAGTAGCGGCAAAGAGGGTTGTTAAAAATGTTGAGTACGACGGAAGACAGGACGGGGTCATTTTTTTTTTTTTTTGCGTTTGGGGATATATATATATATATATATTTTGCGTTTGGGGTTTTTTTTTGTAATAATTCAGTACATTACGGATTGTAAATTATTTGGATGATGTAAAGTGTAATTTGACAATTTTAACCCTAAAAAGTCGCTGACATCATATCAACCCAATCCGACGGATAAGATCGATTTGACGGTGATTCTTGAATATTTCTTGGGCATTATTTCTTGGTTACTGTGCATTTTATTTAAGTATAAGGATGAATATTATCTATGCTGAAATTTACCCATTTAAAAGATAAGAAATAGTAACTAAAATTTCATATTATTTTCTATTAAAATTTTCTGTAAACTTTTAACGTCTTCCTTGGATGTAATGCTTACCTTCGGGGTGCGGGATGGAGATAACTGCTCAACTTCTAGCTAGCTCAACATCTACGCACTTTAATTTAATGGTTTTGGAATCTGCCAAATTGCACTCAAATGGTTTCCCTCTCCGTAAGAACTGGCTAGAAATGCATGTCAAGGATGAAGGATTGGCCAATCACGTTTTCTTTTTTCTTTTTTTTTTTTTTAAAGAAAATATCCTCCCATATAACCCTGCCAATGGAATTAATGCTATTTTATGAATTTTTAAGAGATCACTCAAAGTCTTACCATCAGGTTATGGCTTCCGGCCATATATTTATTACAAGCGTGAAAACGAGAGAAAACTGTCACTAGTTTGAGTATGATTCAAATGATGTGCAATCACGTCTAGAAGAATATTAAAAAAAAAAGAAAGAAATGATCAATTACTTAAAACATTCTCTTTTTTACTACCAAAAAAAAAAAAAAAACATAGATGACATGAAGATACATAACAGATACATTTATTAATGATTCAACCACATGGATACATATATGCGTGACTCTCTCTTTGGCATAAGGATAAATCAAAGAGACCACGAGAGATGAAAGTACATAACTTTTATATATTGTAGGCATGCAGCAGCATAAATTTAATTTAATAGAGAACTTACTGCAGATATATAATACCATAAAGTTTGATTTTTGAGCAATTAATATGTTTGTGCCCAAATTGATTAACGTATTGATGATCAGGAACTAAGAAGGGCGGTAATGCCGAATGGATAGGCATCGGTGGGAAGAATGGGGTCAAAAGAACGATCAACATAAGCCTGTGACACACCATCGGTTGGATGGAAGTTGTCGAAACTCACATACGCCGCCCTATTGCTGCATGGTGTGCTCCCCGGAATACACTGTCCTATCTCTGATACTGGGCAGCACGGCCGATCCAACACTAATCCTAATTATTTTTTATCAACCAAAAAAAAAAATTGACAAAAAAAAATTAAGCATAATTTGGAAACAATATATAACTTTTAGGAATAATTACAATTATTACTCCCTCAGGTACTTAACTTAAGTCATTTTGATTTGTCTTTATGTTTAACATTGTAAATATTTTTTAATTGACAAAAAAAAAACTTAAAAATATTTTATAACAATTAAGAGAATACAAACTATGAAAATATATTTTTAATTTTTTTTGTTATTTAAAAAAAAACGTATTAGTTGAAATCTATGACAAAATTAAAATGTCTTATATTAAGGATTAGAGAGAATATCAATTACCAGGTGGTGTAGGGCCGGATTGTATGCTGGTAGAGTTTGTATAAATGAACTTTGAATCGGGGAATTGGGCATTTAGGCTGTCCACAAGCGGCCTGAGTCTATTGTTAAACAACTCAACTGCATCATTGATAAAACCCACGCAACCAGTCGTGTTATACGTATTTATCTCTTGTAGGACACAACCCAGTGCTGACAACCCAAATATCGCCACTTTTCTTGCTCCCAAACCATGTAAAACCTAGCATAAACACACACACACACACACACAAAGCCCAGCTAATGGTTCAGATAGTTAAAGTTGCCAGACAATTAACAGGGTTTTAAAACAAAAATGTAACCACGACTCGAAATGGATTATATACAAAAGTCTAAAGCGAGTTTTGAAATCGTGGCGTTTTTTTTGGGACGTATATAAAAAGCACATGTATACCTGTAGTTGTTGCTTTAGTTGTTGAATCAAGGCAGCAGCATATTCATCAGGAGTGTAGATTGTGCTTGTTAGATAATATTGTGGAAGGAAGTAATTGTTGAGGTAATCATTACTACCCAAGACAATAGTGTACAAGCACTGGTTTAAATACTGTCTCGTCGCTCTAATCCCTCCAAGCAAAAATGGAAGACGAGAAATCGTTATTTTATGATTTATCAACTGCCTGTTAAAGCTTATGCGATCACCCTGCCGGCAATGACATACAAAATTCATTACGAAAAAAATCATCTAAAACTTATCCCAATTACTCTCTTAATTCCAAAATTATTGCACAATTTTAATTTTCAATTTTAGTTCATTTTGTACTAAAATAAAAATTCAATTTTAGTTCATTTCAGGATGGAAAGAATAATTGTTAACTAAGATGCCTTTGATGAACTTATTACCAAAATATAACCAGTCTCATCCCGGATTCCAGCAGCACCAGACCCATAATTTACACCGTTTTCAATATCACGACCTCTTGCCGTGGCAAATGGAGGAATGAAGTTAGCCAACCCCAGGCGCTGAGCTGAAATATTTTTATTTTTACAAACAAAAATAATGTTGATTTTTTGTATTCTGAATGCGACTTCAATTAAATAAATTAAAGTTGGCATAACGAATGAATGAACTTTTACTTGTGTGGCAAGTAAATGCATCCACAAAGAAAATGTAAAATAGGAATATATATTACATACCGACAAAGTCTGCAAGAGTTCGATTATTAGTAAATCTACCGGTGGCAACACCGCCTTGAAAATCGACGCCATAAGGTGGGTAATTGGCCTTGGCTAGAGTATTCAGATTGTTGTTATTGCCATTGTCGACTAAAGAGTCACCGAAGCTGAAGTAACAAGTTGATTGAGCCAATATTTGTTTCATGTTCAACAGTACCAAACCTACGAACAGAAATGCCCGTAGGTAATTAGCCATCATGCTTAAAGAGAATGATAAAATTTATTAAGGATTCTTTTTTCTTTTTTCTTTTCTTTTTTTGTGGAGATTAAGGAAATTCCTAAGTGTTCTTTACCACACTGAAATCCCAAACTATATATAGAAGCATATCCTAAGCTAAGAACCGAGTATGGGCTTAACTGGTCGTTATGAAGCTAACATGTTAAATCATAGTTGAATCTCAAAGTCAAGAACCTTGAATTCTTAGAGGTGGCTCAAATTAATTTGATTTGGCAAACCAAGTTGTTTTTGTTATTAATTGTTAATTTTGTTGTCCACTCTTCTTTGTTTGGCACACTAAGGACTAGGCCACATTCAAGGGTGAATTCCTATTATATATATGAGAAGTTGATCGGTTTACATGTATAATTTATTCGTTTCTATCGCAATTATTGAGTCAATGAAACTGAAATTCAGATATGATATCTTTTTTATCAAATAATTTCCCTTGGCTTACGATAGAATTATTTATTTATTTATTCATTTTGTTTGTATAGTTTCATTATAGGGAAAAAGAAAAACCGAGATCAATTCCGGGTATTGGCATGCATCAGTGATTAAAATATTTATTGGGAAAGTTTTGCTTTCTAAAAGAGACCTACCCGTTTCGAATCTTGATTAGTTGGAGTAATAATTTCGGATAAAGTGCCATATACCAAAAAGAGAAAAAAAAAATCGTATCGCATATATATATCACCGGCTGGTAAAAAAATATTTTTTTAAAAAAATAGGATTATTATTTTCCGATGGCGCTGACTAACAAGATGGAGTAATAAATAGCTCACGTATATTGGCCAGTGGCCACACAAATCCCTTTAGCCTAGGAACTAAAAGTCAAATGGTTGGGAGTGGATTAAGGGGGAAGCAAAGAAACCAATGAAATATGCCGAACTAGCTAGAGTTGTTTTTTTTTTTTTTTGATATACCATTATAGCTAGAGTTGTTTTGAATTGAAAGAAATAGGAAACCTGATGCTAAAGATACGGGTAATTTAACTGAGGATGCAATTATGATTATACAATGATCGTATACAAAGTTTTATCCCCGAGAGTGATCTTTTCGATTTGAATCTTGATTAGGCACAAAACAATAGTTTCAACCTTCGAACACTAAATATCTAAAGTAAAATCCTAAATAAAAGAAGTTATTTCGACAAACGAACTACCCCGTATGTTGGTTTTACATTTGAGACTGCAGATCCAACACGTTAACATTTAAAAGTGCGAGTACCACCAGATTTGACATTTACTTCATGTCATTACTGCTTAATCTTGCAAATTACAGGTTGTGAGTGTATATGGTTTTGGTTTTGGTCTTGATCGATTAATCTGCCATCTTATTTACAAGGACGCTTAATGAGATTGTATCAAAGGGAGTGAGAGAGTTGTGGATTTTTTGAACCAGAATCAATTCGGTCGAAACATCTAAACTAAGGGTTTGTTTGATGATATAGATTATTGCTTAAAAACATTCAATTAAGCACCTTTAGTTTCAGTATGTTTGATAACAATAACGGAATCTTTTAATGAATTAAATCGTGTTAAAATTGCAAGAAAAAATATAAATAAAAGTTAATTTATTACATATTTTGTAACCATTTGAAAGATTCAATATTTCTACTTCAAAATTAAACATTCAAATACATATCAAATTTGTCCTAAGTTTATTATATTTATGCATGCGCTTGCAAAACAATTAACGGAATTAAAAATAATACAACTTCAAGAAAAATAACTCAACATTTTTGTCCCATAAAAGTAGGTGGAAGGAATAAAGAGGAATAATGTCTTACAAATTACATAAAAGACTCTAGCTTCATCATCTGCCCCTGCTAATCATGGAGAGTTTGTTTAACTATACAGGGCAGAATAAATTGTATCATCATCATCATCATCAAGAACGTAGAAGGTTGCTAATGTCCATTGGATAGGCATCCGTGGGAAGAACCGAGTGAAATGATCTGTTTACATAAGCCCCATACACATTCTCAGTAGGATGGAAATTGTCAAAATTCATATACTTTGCCCTATCGCTGCATGGTGTGCTCCCCTCAATGCATTGACCTATGGCTGGATCAACTTGGCAGCACGGCTTATCGTACACTTGAAATCCTATTATTAAGAATAATAAAACATTATTATAAAAATTTTATGTTGTACGCTTATACCGTTTTAGTTCAACAGAATTATAGACGGTTAAAAATCAGATGAAAAGAGCATAACCTAGGTTTATTACCTACGGATGATGAGTCTCCTGATTGTATACTGGTAGAGTTCAAATATATGAACTTTGCATCTGGGAATCGGGCATTTAGGTCGTCCACGAGTGGCTTGAGCCTATTGTTGAATAACTCAACTGCGTCATTGATAGAACCAATGCAACCACTGGAGTTGTACGCAATTATCTCATGTAAAGTACAACCAAGTTGGGCCAACCCAAATAAAACCACTTTTCTTGCTCCAAGTTTATGTAAAGTCTACCCAAAAAAAATAAAGGTAATTAATATTAATGTTTGTATTAAAACGAGTTTTAAAATTGAGGCCTTTCAAGACGTACGTATAAATGCTCGTATTACTTGCCTGAAGTTGTTGGGAGTATTGTTGGATCAAGGCATCGGCGTATTGTTCAGGAGTGTAGATTGTACTGGTTGGATAATATTGTGGCACAAAGTAATTGTTGAGATAATCGTTACTCCCGAAGACAACGGTGTACAAACATTTGCTCAGATGTTTTTTCAATGATTTTTGCCTTGCAAATATAAGTGCAAGTCTAGACACCGTCTTGGCATGATTTGTCAACTGCCTGTTGAAGCTCAAGCGATCTCCCTAGCAAAAATTTACCAAGACAGAATACTAATAATAATAATTATTGGACGTAATTAAGGTCCATTGATTGAATTAAAAAGACAAAGAAGAAAACACTTACCACAACCGCGCCAGTCTCATCCCGGATTCCGGCCGATCCGGAACCATAGTTTACACCACTTAAGATATCAAGACCTTTTGCGGTGGCATACGGCGGAACGAAGTTCCTAAATCCCAGGTGCTGAGCTGAAATATTATATCGTTGATTTGTGTCATCAGTTGATAAATTCTCCCTAATTGCACTTCCATTAAATTTCCAGAATAATTTGATGAATTAATCGGTTGATTAGTCCAAATCTTTCTTTTCTTCTTCGACAAGTTTCAACTTCAATTTTACAGTCCAAAATAAATTTTTGTTTTGCATCATGCCGGTTGCATGAACTTACTGAGGGCAATTCCTCTATTCATTTCTTTATTAGTTTTATGTACCTAGCTGGTTTCTCTAGTGAATTGAAGTATTGAGTTGCTCCATCCAGGAAAAGAAACAAAAACAAAAACAAAAACAAATTTTTTCTTACATTGAAACAGTAAATAATTATAGCAGTGCTTGTACTCTTTTTTTTTAAAAAAAAAAAAAGAAAAATTAATAATTTAGAAGTGTAATATTTCCTTTGCTGTATAATGAAAATTAATTTGCACGGAATGACTCATTCGTACCATTCATCAAAATGGAAACTCAAGTGGGAGCACACAACCATCATAAAACAATCTAAGCCACAAATTTAAAAACCTTATGGACCATTTTACATCCATCGTAATAATTGTGTGTAGTCTAATACTCTAATGTGTTTCATTAGTGAAATTAGGACAGAAACATAATACCAGTATTTTTGTTGATAAATTAAAAGAAAAGGTACCAATACAATATTGTTTATTAATAGTAGAATAAATTTGCAGATGGAGTAAATTAACTTTTGTTTTTATGTAGCATTATAATAAAGTTATTATCAAGTAGTATATATAAATTTAGAAGCAGAATATAAAAGTTGAGAGGGTAAATAAATAATTACCAACAAAGTCTGCAATATTTCGGTTATTAGTAAATCTACCGGTGGCAACACCGCCTGGAAAATCGACACCATAAGGTGGGTAATTGGCCTTGGATAGTGTCTCCAGATTGTTGTTGTTGCCATTATCGACCATAGAGTCCCCAAAGCTAAAGTAACATGGCACTTTAGGTGATGCGTCCAATATTTGTTTCATGTTTAAAATGGACAAACCTGCGCAGAAACAAAAGTGCCTTGATGGTTAATTAACCTCCTATAACCATGCATAAAGAGAATGATGAAAGTTAGCCAAAAATTTTTTTTTTAAAAAAAGGATAAAAAGTCACTCTCTCCATTCATGTTTAATTAACAGAAATTTTTTTATTTTACTTTAACGCAAAATGAATATATTAAAATGAGCTATGGCGGAGCTAGGAGACAAAAGAACGCGGTTGCACCTGCTCAATTTTTTTTTAATTTATAGAAATATTTAAAAGTTTTAATAGGTGACTATGTATTTTATAATTTTTTTCACTTCCTACATTAAATTTTTTAGCTCATTAGTAATTTTTTTTCTTGTAAATCTTGCACCCATGTGTTGATTTCCTGACTCCGCCACTGAAAATGAGAGGAGGAGAGTTCTAAATGTGTATAGATGCTCAAAAATGAATAAATCTACTACTATCTAAAAGCAAGAACCCTCAAGCCTACAATACGTTCGTCGTTGGAACTCTCATCAATGCAATGAGGGGGTATATTTGTTATTCAATCCAAAAATATCCCCAAATGATAATAGATCTTTTTCAAGTCTGGGCCCTTTCGATCCATTTTCTATTTCGGCCTCAACTTTTGGGCTTCAATCACATTTTCTGTTTTTTTTTTTTTCCTTTTAAAACTGGCCAATTTTTTGTTCATGTATGTAAACTTATTATCTTAAACAATGACTTTATGAATAAAAATATGCTTAATTAAAAAGGAAAATGATACTCTTAGTGAAATAATATAGTGAGAAAATATAGTGACTGATGTGTATCCCTATTTTGTTGCCATTTTCCCGTTGAAATTTTTTCTTTTCCTCTAAAATTATCATTTTACCCTTAATTATTATTGACGCATTAGTCACTATGTATTTTCACTATTTTTTCTCGCTATTTGTATCATTGCTAATTAACATTTGATAACTAATGTTATTCTCCACACACTCCCTCTGAGGTTACAAAAATTTTGTTCCCTATACTGTTAGCCAAAAAAACAAAGAAATATTTTCTATGTAAAAAAAAAAGAGAAATATTAATGAATTGGTTGATTGAGGTGATAATTATAAGTGGCGATAGCGTAAGTAAGAAAAATAGAGAAATATTTATATGGAGTACAACATAAAGCATTGTAAAAGCTTTAATTTTTTTTAACAGAATATGTCAACACACAATAAAAAACAATACATATATAATCAAAATAATGGACGGTAAGTATGGATTATTATTCCGACGATATCATAATTTAAAATTTATTATTTTTTTCAAAAAAAATGTTTGAATAACTTAAAAAAAACGTAGCCGAAGTATAATTTTAATTTAGATTAGATTTATTAAAGTGAAAGACACAGCCCGCGAGTAATGGGGGCGATTAGATGACCTTAGATTTGACAACTTGTCAACTTGGATGGAAAGTTTTGGTCCCAAATTGGGTATCTACTTAATTGTGTCATTAATGCTATAGCTTAATGCAAGAAATAGAGATTACCAGTAAAATGTATTCTACTTCACCTTTGTATCAAATCATCTAACTATATATCTCACTGAGGTAGGTTATATAAAGGTTCCAGGATTAAATACCCCTCAGAGCCGGGTCCATTTTTGCCTTAAATCCCACCACACAAAACTTTTTGAGTTGAACAAAATGTACGTACTCTAATCCAAATCATTTCCATAGTCAATTCTATTAAAATTAAAAATAATATATGCAAACAAGAATTAATCAATCCCAAGAATCAAAGAAAACGAAAAAAAATGGAGTCATCAGCAGCAAGTATATATACAGCTCTTAGAGAATAAATATATTACCGACAAATTCTGAAAGATCATCATCCCCTCCATCAGCAAACCCGCGAGCTGCTCGACTAAGAAGCTGGATTCCGGAATCTTGATCATTGGAGGAATCGGCTATGGCCAAAACGGTATTATTGTCGTTGCAACAAAGAACAACAATCAACCAAATCACAACCAAATATCGTAGGTTAACCATATTGGGGGGGGTTGACGAACCAAGGTATTAAGAGTACTGGCAGACTTGAGGAAGAAGGAAGTTCTGAGTTTGAAACGGGCAAATATTCACAAGGATTTAAAGGATGACGAAACCATTCTCAAACTCAAATCTTATTGGTTTGGTGTGAATTGAAACTCTCTTTTAATTATGTTGGACTTTAGTAGTGATAGAAGCTCAACACATGTCCAATCATACATTTAGACCAATACTAATTAAGTTTATTTTCTTCTTAGAGAGATTAGATGATCAAATGGACCACCCTCCAACTTTTTTGATTGCGCTACAACGAAGGAACTAAAAACCAATCAAAACGTGTTAAAGATGCTTGGTAGCCAGTGACGGAACCAGAAAATTCGTGCTAGAGGGTCGACTTTTTATGTAGTTCACGATGCATAGCTCCTGTAGAGGCTTATTCAAACTCGCCTCTCTTGATAATAAGACACGATCTGCATTCCTATTTAAAAAATATTCCTTTCAATTCAAAAAAGATAATTCACTATAATTTACTGGTTCAGTTCAACAAAGTAAATACTTTAAAGAGAATAACATTTGTAATTCTAATTGTATATATATTGTAAAACAATCACCCCATGTTCTAAATACATGCTTGCTTTAGAGTTTGAACAACCAAAAAATAAATAAAAAATTGTAAAGAGATACACTTCACCATGACATACTCTTTCCTATAAGAAGAAATTGTTTTGATAAAAAAAACGAATAAAATATTTGTTTAAAAAATAAAATAAAAGGAGATAGAGTTTCAAAAGTCAAGCTCAATCTGTCATTTTTTTAAAAATATTTTTTATATATACTGAAGAGGCAAAAAACATAAGATATACCATTGTGTTCTGATAATTCACCTAAATTCAACCAAGAAAAAAAAATGACCTAGAAAAAATAGTCAAAATACTATTACTACATGAAAAGTAGGTGAATAGCAACTTGAATCATCGAAGCCCAAACGTAAATTTGTTGTATCTTCTTTTATCATTTTAAAATAATCCATACTTACTTGACACAAATTAGGCCATTTTTTAAGAAAAAAACCAGCCCAAATAAAAAGGAGAGCATAAACAAATCTCTTCTTCTTCGTTGCATCCTTTCCCTCGCCGCGCGGGGTCGGCCAAAAATAATTACAGCACCGACGGCTGATCAGAATAACTATTCTAAGGGCTTCTCGGACTAACTGGGGGGTCAATCGACCCTCCTGACCCCCCTGTAGTTCCGTCACTGTTGGTAGCTAGGGTTCATCTCTCTACTGTAAATCATCATATCACATATCTTCAATAATCTTTGATATAGAGATAATCGGCAAAGTCTGTGTGGCTATGGTTCTTCCTTGTAAATTTACACTGAGTTCGTAATATACCAAAAAAAATAAAGTAGATTTTTTTTTTAATTTACTTTGATTTAACGTAAACCAGCCCGTATTTGTGAAATTGTGAAATTGTCGGCACGAGGTGTGGGTACGTAGATTGTGCCATCACAAGGACATCTACAGGAATTTCAAAATGTCTTTTCCTCAAGTTACAAAAATGTACTTACTATTTCACTTCACGGGTTTACGTACTTTTCTTGGTCCCTTGTCTCCCATTTTTCAGCATCCACGTTTTCGATTATTTATTCAATTATTGTTTTACTTTAATCAAACGATAAATGAATCACTTTCGATTAAAAAATTTTGATTTATGTGGATTCATATTAATTCCATACATTGCCTATCATCTCAAAGGATGAGATAGATCGTTTTTGCCTGATGAAATGGACGGTGTTGTACACAAAAGAAATTTTGTAATATAAAAATAGAATGTGGGAAGATTTAGAAAATTGATTAGGTTCTAAATTGACAGCGTGCATGGTTATTTGGGTTTTCAGTCCAAAAAAAGAAAGTGCGGGAAAACTTGAAAATGATTGATGAATAATTGGATATATATGTGCATTATTGGGTTGAAGAAGACCTGTACTCGGGGACCAGGCACAACGTTTGGACTTACCCAAGCCTACCTGGATTCAAATGATGAGGCCTTATATGTTATCTTTTTTTACTTTTTCCATTCCAATATAAGCGAATTATTTTACCTTGATGGATGAAATGTTATTTGAAACTAATGAAGAATTATCTTATTTATTTTATATTGAGTCATTTCGAGCATGTTATGTAATTACGTAAATAATTAAGATCAAGTGTTTCAATATTTAATTATCTGAAAAAACAATGGATGCTTGATCATGGAACTAAATGGATCAGAACTGAATCGTAATTCCAGATTTTAGAGATTTATTTTTGGGCAATATTCAAGGAAATTGAAAGTAGATAAGCGTTGGTGATTGACTGTTTCTTCGTATCAATTAATCGCATCTGGACGATTTTCAGTAAATGAATGAAATTATTATTTTATTTTTTTTAAAAAAAAGAGCAAGAAATAGTATAAGTGAAGATTTATGATTAATAATCGATGAAATACATCAACCTTTTCTTTTTGGGCTTTCAATAATGCATTACATCCATCTTGCAATTTGATCCACAATTGAAAAAATCACACACAGACAATAGAAAAATCAGTGGAGAAGACAAACAACATTACGTGACAGGAATGTAAGCCAATTATCAACCAAACATAATTTTTTTTTTTTTTTGGGTTGTTCTAAAGTTGAGCCAAACGACTAATATCAAAGGGGTAGGCATCTGATCCCTTTTGGGCATTGAATGATCTTTTCCCTATGATGACATTTGCAGCTTCGGTTGGATGAAAGGCATCCCAAAACAGATATTGGTTTCTGTTTCGGCATGGAGGTTGTAATGGAAGACATGTTATTTGGCCTCTGTTTCTTCCTACTCCACAACAACCCGCATTTGTTACCGTAAATCCTGTTTAATCAAATATTCAAAACATTAGTAACATAGTACTCATAACGTTACTTGATGCTAACAAAATGACTACAATTTGAGTTTTCTTTCTTCATATTTGAGTTTTCTTTCTTGATTCAATGGAAAAGAAATAAAGAGGAGTTAGTTACCATAAGAGGAGGGACTATCAATCAAATCTTGGAAAATGCCATAAGCGTCGATGTAGATGAATTGTGAGTCAGTAAATTGATTGTTGAAGGTGTCCACAAGGGCCTTAAGTTTGGTATTGAAAATCTTGCAGGCCGAGTTGATTCGGGCAACGCAAGTTCTACCATCTGGGCTGTTTTGGGCCAATGCATTTGGACTGCATCCTATTTGACCTACTCCAATCAAAGCGAACTTCCTCGCTCCATAATTATGCATGGCCTACAAGGAGAAATCAAATGCAAACAAATAAAAAAAAAAAGGTAAGGATTTGATACTTGATAGTGGCTAAAATTGTATGGTACTGCAAACTCCAAAACAAAACGTTGTTACACAAAAATTACAGTTAAGATTACCGTGATTTGTTGGGAGTATTGTTGGAGAAGAACATTAGCATATTGCTCAGGAGTATATTGCCTGCTAGTAGAGTAAAACAGAGGCATAAAGTAGTTGTTAAGATAGTCATTGCTCCCAACACCAACTGAATAGATGCACTTGCTCAGGTAATCTGCAGCGGTGTTTTCATCTCCAAGAATGTCCACAATTTGGCTCACGGTGTTCTTGTAGTTGTTCACTTGCCCCGAGAAACTTATCCTTTGACCCTACACAAATAATTTATCAGGATAACAGAAGAATTAATCAATTCTCTGAATTTATAATAAACACGATAATTATTTCGAAACAGAGAATATCAAAGTTGGTGTGTTTTAAGTTACCAATTGACGACCGGTTTCCTCTCTAATTCCAGCAGCTGCGGAAGCATAATTGACTCCACCTAGTATAGCTTGACCACTAGCTCTTGAATAAGGGGGAATGTAATTGTTAAATCCCAACTGCTGAGCTGATGATCCAAAAACCACAAATAAATTTAAAATTGGTCACTTAATTTGGAAAAAGATGTAATTAAACCAAGCAAGTTTAAATTAGATTCACATTTTGCAAGTAGATATCCGCATCAAATTAGTGAGCCAAATTTAATAAACTCGTTGTTTAAAAATAAAAAGTATCTAAAATTTATTGGCGAATAATTTACATGCGAATGAATTATTGCACGGGGGTATTTATGATGGTAGACAGCTGCTGCTGAATTACATGCGAAGGGTACGGGGCAATAAAAGTCGTCAAGATGCAAGGCTGAAAGGGACTGAAAACGTACGTTATGACTTGGTTTGCTGTAGATAAAATTGAGACTACTGTATTAATGCATAAAGATATTTTCTAATTTCACGATTTGAACCATGAATTAGCCATAACAAAAGGAGACATTATTTTTACTTGAAAAAGTAATAATTAAGTGTTTTGATAAAATTCTTTTTTTTTTTTTTGGAAAAAAAAGAATAGAAAAAAGTACTAACCAATAACATCGACCGTAGTTTTGCCATTAGAAAACCTCCCAGTTGGACCACGAGGGAAATCAATACCATAAGGCAAGTAGTTAGCCTTAGCCAAGGAATTGATGTTATTATTGTTACCATTGTCCACAAGTGAATCCCCAAAAATGAAGTAACATGGAACTTGTTGTGCTCTAACCCCACTGCCACCAACATTCAGGAGTATTACCACATTGATCACCAACACTTGGATCCCGACCAATAACTTCATCAAGTTACTACTATTCCCCATTCTTAATTACCACAGAAAACCCTAACTCCCAAAGAAAAAAATAGGGTTTTATAAGCTAAAACCAAAAATGTGTAGAAATGTTGAGTGTTGTCGATCAATTTGAGAAGGGAAATGCTGATTGTTGATATTGAGATGTGATGAAATGTTGGGGAACGGATTGTGGGATATATATACTAAAAATTGAAGATTTGACTTGTGCGTCGGCAATGCTATCAATTAAAAAGACGGTATGAGAGGCAATAATTTGATTATTAAGCGAATTGTATGTAACTTTTATGGTTGGGAAGTCAGTAAGATGCATTAAATTTGACGCGGGTGGACTTGAGCTACCATTTCTTGTTTTCTCTTCTCAAGCTGGAGATTTGCGAAAGGAGGTCACGTAAGTGAATGAGGAAGATGGAGAAAATTTAAAAGTGCCTTTTTATTCTTTTCCTTTCAATTAGGTTTGTTTTAAGAGTAATGATTGTTGTACAAAAAATTTACAATAAAAATATATAGGGACTTAATCATAACTTTATAGTTAAATCTTACTTTTATGGGTTTATTTATTTGAGAGTTAAGAAATAGTTAAAATCAGTCACATCATTTCCTGGTAATTTTTTTTTTTTTTTTGCATGTATCACTATTATTTTAATTTGTTTGGGAACTTATTGGTTGTTACTTAAATGGGAGACGATCGACATGCATGATGTGAGTGGGTATGTGATGTATTTTTGACAGAAATTGTGACCCAGTCAAATTAAGGAACAAAAAGAAAAAGGCTGTGAATGAGATTGAGGTTATTACGATACAGACGTCTTTTTTTCCTTTTTTTTTTTTAATTATCAAAGTGTAATACACAAAACTTCAAGGGTGCAGTTCAGAAACCATACTTTTTTAGTAATTGTAGTCTGTAAATGACAACGAGAAGTTAACTACGTATTTTATACAAGTTTTAGGTAACAAATTCGGGATAAAATTGGAGTACACAATCTGGATTTGCCCTATCTAGATCATCATTGTCGAAGTACTTTTATTGCAAGGCCTGTTTTTGTGGTTTACTCCTCTATAATGAATGTCGGTCTCGTAAAATTTCCTGGAAACATCAATTCCAAGTTTCTAACGAATGTACCATTTTTGTGCTTGAATGTTGTCAAGGATAAAACACAATATCTTAAATGGATGATCCCTGTTTCTCATTAGGTTGAAGACGCATTTCCGTGGGCGTCACGCATCATAAACTAAAAAAGAAAAAAGAAACATCATTTTCCGCAATAGATTATTGTTAATCTTTCAAATCGTGTGATGTTTTATTTTCCTAATTTTATCATCACTTTAATTTCATTGGACCCTGAGAGTCGATTCTAATTACAACGTTCTACTTTTTTCTAGAAAAAAAATAATTAATATCGTAAGATGCTACTTTTGATCCTCAATTAATGCAAACAAATCAAATCAACCAGCCATGAATATAAAAGAAAGTAAGAAGTTGTGATTAATCCTTATTTGGGCTGAAAAGTGCAAAATTTGGTTCACTGATCACATGCGGCATTATGTTTCAACGTTGAATTTGTCAATCGTTTTCCCTTGTAATTATTGATGAGATAACATTAAAGTTTTGGTAGATGGCTGCTGTTTTCCGATTCTCTTCCCATTCATAGATCATAAATTGCAGTATGTCATACCCCAAAATTTTTTTATTTATTTTCCTTTAGGGGAAAATACTAATCTGAAACCATAAGAAAAACCAATCTATAACTTTCATCAAGTCAACTTTTCTACTAATATATAAATTATTTTTTTATCACTTTTGACTTCATGTTTCACAATATGTTCAGCAGAATTGACTAAAAATCCAACAGTTCATGACCGGAACACACATCAGAACACAAAAAGGGAAGCCTTAATTTCTAGCACCAAAAGAGAGACAAAAAACAAACGCGAACGGGTCATGGATGATTCCATAGACGAAATGGTTTGCCGTCTTGGTTTAAATGGTTGTTAGAACAAGAATTATCAGATATTTCTCATGATGTAATTATTAGGATATGAATATATAGAGATTAGAGTATTCATAAAACTAAAATTGTATACAACATTTACAACTTTAGTTCACATAAAAAGGATTATTGTTCCAAGTTTCCCATTCGCATTTTTTGGTGAAACAAATATGTCTAAGTTTCTTGAGTCGACTTGGTAATCCATCTAGAAAAGTTGACGATCAAATTATTGAAATGTTGACAAAATAATTTTTTTAAAAAAAAAATTATGCTTTTAAATGGTCTTTTGTTTTTTGTGATTTCAATTAATTATTTTTTGTTTACCAATTTATTTTTTATGATGTTTTCAATAAGTTAAAAAAAATTCATTTCTTTTTTTTAATTTTGGGTTTTATTCACATATATTGTATCATCCCACAAAAATTTTAGGAGCTTACAAACCTTAACTAATTAATAATATAAGAGAAAATATCGAAGAACATACAACGGAAGTGTAATTGGTAGATACAGTACGAATTTACTTGTTTTGATGGAAAGGAGTCCACTTATTTGACTGGCGAGCTAATGCATGAAGAGCGCTGGTCCAAGCAGCAGGCAAATAATATTTAAATTTGTTTTTTTTTTTAAAAAAAAAAACTAAGATAAAGTAATTGAAGCAGTTAGAAGGTTTTTTGGGAGCAATGAAGGCTATTGAAGCAAGAAATTATTCGAGGAACACATCTTCCACTTCAAAACACCAATCTTAATTGAATCATGCATCTTTAGAGTGAAAGCTAAGGTTAGTAGATGTGTAAAAAAATTATTCGTTTTTTTCTTTTCTTTTTTTTTCTTTTTTTAAAAAAACAATATTGTTTCACAAAACAGGCCTAAGTCTCTGAAAAGTTCACAACAACCACCTACTTCATCCTACGCCATCGATTGTAGCTCATCACGTCATGGCTGAAAAAAGAAAAAGAATGATCTTCAAAACATAAACCCTCCATCGTATATATTTCCTCGGTCTTTAATATAAGTTATTTTGATTTGTTCTATGTTTTACCTATTACGTATTTTTTATTGACAAAAAAAATCTTAAAATATATATATTTTCAGATTCGCTTTATTCTCTTGATTGTTATGAAATATTTTTAAAGTTTTTTTTTCAATTAAAAATATGTATTAAGTGAAATCTAAAAAAAATCAAAATACCATATAATAAGGACCGGAGGGGATACATGCTAACCTTCTAAAGTTTCAATAAAGACGTTGAATAAATAAAATAATTATTTTGCAACAAGAGAACAACACAATATTGGATTAAGATGAGCACATTGTTACGTCCATACATTCCATTTGCCGTTCACATTAATCAAACAAGCTAGGAAAATCCATGTTACCTTAATATCGTCACAAAAGTCAACCTCCCTGAGTTGTCTACTCGATCACCCTATAGTAAAAGTAACATCCAGTTAAGCATATGTCTGACCGGAACAATGATACAGTAGTAGATGGAGCCACCGCCGACGACGTATACATCTTGACTTGGTCTCTCTATGTAATATATATGCGAGTAAAATCATTATTTGATGAACGAAAGCCAAAGAAAATCCACCAAACCTAACAGCGGGAGAGTAATAAATTCTCCTGTACGTAGTATATCATCTTATCTTTTTGCTCCAGTTGTGACTTGACATCCACGTCGTACGCCGCATACTATACCGCCTACATCATTTTCCTAATTACCCTCATAAACAAGCTTACTTTATTAGTCGTGTCATCCCGAAATAAAACAAAAATTCAAATTAATTAATTAATTAAGAGGGGAAGAGCATAGTATTTTATTTTAATCAGATTAACTGGACTCAATTTTTGGAATGAAAAAGAAATTTTTTTAAAAAAAAAATGTTAGAATTTTTGACTGAATCGTGAAAAAATTAGCCTAACGAATATACATAGCCCATGGGATGAGGAGGGTTGGTGACCTGTTGGGACAAAAAGAATCCCACATCGGTGTCGTGAAAGATATGTCACCTATTTATAAGTGTTAAAAGCCATCCCACTCATTACTAATTGATTTTGAGATGGGAGCCCAAGGTTACTTTGATATGACCCATGCGGTGAATTGTAATAAACACCGAAAACGAAATAATAGTGTTTCCATTCTTAAAATTGGCAACATAGGCAAAGAACTTTCGAGCTTGTATACCATTTTCAGTACAAATTCTCCTCCTACTGCTATCACTTCACAGTGTAACAAAGACAACAGGATCAAATGAGCTGGGGAGAGGAAAGTCAAGCAAAGTAACATGGGTCGGTAGGCACAAAAGCGTGGTTAATAATGGTAGTGGACTGGTGTACATTGTACAAATATTAATTTAGCAGGACCGTGGTTTCCCATCACATTTATAAGCGAGATCGACACGGGTTATACATCAAAAGCCTTTAATAAATGTAATAGTCCAGTATTGGCAAGATTCATATGTAGTGATCACAAATCACTGTCGATTTAAGCTTATATGATCTATACAAGTCAGCTCGTTTACCAAAAGAGTGGAGTTGCTGAATGTGGTGATAAGAATGAACGAGATTATTTATGACTATTACTCCCTCTGTCCCAAAATTATTGTCTACTTTGAGATTTTATTTTAGTACAATTTGAACAAGAAATGAAAATCCAAACTGGACAATAATTATGCGACGGAGAGAATACATCTAAAATTTGGTCATAACCCTTGTATCGAGTGTAATCTAAAGAAAGTATTCTTTTTTGTCTTAATTATGAAGTAGTATTAATTTTAAACTAATTTTATTGTTAATTTGTATATTACAATTAGGATTAAAGGGAATACATGATTATGTGAGTTACCACTTACTATAGTACATAATTACTTGCACATATCTGGAGTACTTACTCCTCAAATTAAGGAGTACTAGCCTAAACGCTGAACGCCTCCAATGAATAATAATGCAAAGCAATTGTTTGACTAAAATGAAATAATTGCTTGAACCGTTGGACATTTATATCTTTAGCGGAAATTGACTTCTTCTTTTTCTTGGCGAACAATTGGCTAACGCTCGAAGTTGACTTATCCATTATGTCAACAAAACCATAACTATTCAAAGTCATGATTTTGTTAGTGGCAAAAATAATCGATAACTTAGGATCTTTTGGCCCAGAGCTATGATCCTCCTCCTTTTTAAGTGGTAGACTGTGATTAGAACACAAGTTGATCAATATTTTTCATTTACGAGATTTATTAATCTTATGTAATCTTTAAACGTCTTTAATTTGCCTCCTTAGGGTATGGACAAGTGTAACTGTCAACTATAATCCATATCGAATTATATTAGTGGCCCGATTGAGGAAGACATATTTCAAAAATTAGGAAAGCTAATCAAATTAATGAAAGAAATAGAGAACAAACTAAATCT